CAAATGTGTCTTTGTATTTTGATCTACTCTCTCCTTGTTGTTGATAGAGGAGCCTTGTAGGCTACAGCCCATGGGGTTGCAAAGAGTTGGACATGACTGAGCGACTAACACATCTTCTTGCCAGGGCCAGCTCATGAATATGAGTTCAGTATAGTCACATGGGGCCTCACACTGAGAAGGGCTTTGCGCTTGGTTTAACTCTGCTGTCACTGACTTGAAATTCTTACTGATTTTTGAACAAGGGCCCCACACTTCCACTTTGCATTGGGCCACACAATCATGTAAGTCAGTCCTACTCCTTGCTGTGGCCACTGACAGTGGGAGAAGAGTCCTACCACACAAGGTAAGCACAGTGGGATAACTGCAGTTCTCCTTCGGAACTCAGCGGGCCTTTCCCCCATAGAGACCATTCATAAAGGCGGATCAAGCTGATAATAGCTCTGCCTTCATTAGCCTCAGTTTCTTCATCTCTAAAATGGAGCAGCAGCACTTGCCCTTGCATGCCATTGTGAGCACTGGGTGGGATCATGTATAAAGTACCCATCAGAATGTTTGACATACAACTGGTATTTGCTAGATGCAACCCATGGAAGGTAACAGGTGCAGGAAACAGATTAAACTCTGGAGTCAGAGTTTAATCAAATCTTATCACCCCCACTGCTTAAACAAGATGTATGATATTGGTCAGGCAACTTAGCTTCTCCCAGCCTCAGTTCCATTATCTGCAAAATGGGAATGTTAGCATTTACTCTGTAGGACAGTTTTGGGATTCAAATATTCTAATGAATTTAAAATATCTATTTTACCACCTGGCATGTAGCAGGAGCTCGAAATATAACAGTTCTTAGTTTGGCTCCCTTTTAACATCATTTCTGTACTCTACACAATTCATTTATAAGTGATGCTGGGATACAACCATTAGCAAGTGTCTTATTCAATACAACTTCCTATACACTCTATGACCTATAACATATAGCCTCCCTGTATGTGAAAATCATTTTGTAAAAAAATATTTGAGACCTGTATTTCCTTCTTTGCTAGACTATGAATTCCTGAAGGCAGGAACCAAGTCTTATTTACCCTTTTATCCTAGAACACCTTCTAACACATATAATCCCAAGAGAATTAAATCTCTCTTTTGTTGTTCATGCCAAAAATGAGATGATAAATTTCATAACATTCCTAAGTCAGCAATTAATAATCAGACTGTTAATGATTAGGAAGTAGCACATGTGCATGCTAAGTCGTTTCAGTAGTACCCGATTCTGCAGCCCTATGCACTAGAGACCGCCAGGCTCCTCTGTTCATGGGAATAATACTAGAGGTATTATTCTGACCCAGGGATCAAACCCGCATCTCTTACATCTCCTACTCCAGCAGGTGGGTTCTTTACCACTAGCGCCACCTGGGAAGCCCTAGGAAGTAGGAGCTCCAAATAGCCACATCTTTGCCATTAAAGGCCTTCTAATCCTTGTCCAGGGCTCCCCTGGTGGCTCAGAGGTTAAAGCGTCTGCCTGCAATGCGGGAGACCTGGGTTCAATCCCTGGGTCGGGAAGATCCCCTGGAGAAGGAAATGGCAACCCACTCCAGTATTCTTGCCTGGAGAATACCATGGATGGAGGAGCCAGGTGGGCTACAGTCTACGGGGTCGCAAAGAGTTGGACGCGACTGAGCAACTTCACTTACTTAATCCTTGTCTATCACATCTGGCTCAACACCCAGCATCCTTGGGTCTGGTTCTTGCTTCATTAACAACAGGGAACATAACTTAATTTTATGTAACCAACCACCTTCCCTGGCAACAACCTGTGTTCAGAGGCCACTGGGAAAAGAATTTCCTGAAATCCCAATAGTTGAGTCATAATTTGATACCTCTTAGGACTCAAAGAGGGCTCAGAACTGTGACTTTAACCATTGGAGGGTTATGGGTCTCTTCAAGAACCTTCTGAGAGTTAATGGACATTCTCTCCAGAAAAAATAAATTCGCTATCTTACATACAGTTTCAAGGTGCCCGCAGAACTCCTGCAGCCCTTGTACCTAGGTTAGTAATTCTTGTTAAAATAGCCCAGAAAACTGAAGAGCAATGCAAAAGATTCAGTTTTCCTGATAAATTCTAGCCCTGACTAGTCACATTCCCTTGTTCAAAACAGAACAGAACAAAACAGTTACAACTCCCTAGATTTGACCTCAGGGTTATCCCTGAGGCCCAGTCCTAGGTATTAACAGTGAGGGCATCCAGCCAAGCAGTGACTACTCTCTGGAAAACCTAAGTTCAGCTGAGTAAAACGGAGCTGTGTTTGATAATATCGTTTACATTTCCAAATCCCGGGTATCAAGCTTTCTTCCTATCCCTTGTGGCCCTTCCTAAATTTAGCGGCTGGTGTAATGGGGTAACCATGGCAACAACCACCTGCCTATTTAAAACCATTTCCAAAGCTAAATAAGGAAGCCTGGAATAAACGGCTGCTCGCCTGCCTCTCCGTGGACAAATTGGGCATTCCTGGGCATTTTCAATAGGAGCAAGCAGGCAGAGTAGAAACAGCATGGACTCAAGTTTTTAACAGGAAGTGTTCTGAGACCCTGTGAAACAGGGTCTACCTCAGAGCCACTATGTTTGCATTTATTAGAAGGCCCCGGAGAAGGTAATGGTAACCCACGCCAGTACTCTTGCCTGGAAAATCCCATGGACTGAGGAGGCTGGTGGGCTGCAGTCCATGGGGTCGCCACGAGTCTGACACGACTGAACGACTTCACTTTCAATTTTCACATTCACACATTGGAGAAGGAAATGGAAACCCACTCCAGTGTTCTTGCCTGGAGAATCCCAGGGACGGGGGAGCCTGGTGGGCTGCCATCTATGGGGTCGCACAGAGTCGGACACGACTGAAGCGACTTAGCAGCAGCAGCAGCCATGCCTGTCTTCCTAGATGATCGCACTACCCTTACCCTCAACTAGGTGAAGGGTGAGGTGCACACCTCACTGCAAAGGAGAGTCTTGCTGATAGAAACTGGGAGGTGGGGAGGAAAAACGTTCATTCAGATCAGTGAGATTGTTCATACGCTGCCCTGAAATGCACAGCTACAACTTTTTCCTGGCAGAGGAATCTTTCTAACTCTACCTAATCATGTGGATAACTGATGATTGCTCTTTTTATGTCATATGTTCACCTGTCTATTGATTTTTGGAGTATGGACAAATTCTTCCCGCCTTCTGCCTCCTTGCTGTCTACAGAGGTTTTGCTTCTTTCCATGAAAGGAGACCACCCAAAAGATCACACTGAAGAGCTTGCTTTTCCCCAGGCAGGCTGTTTCCCACACTCATATGGATCTTTTTGTACATTTGGTTCCTTCTCCCTGGGGTGCCCTTCTTTTTTCTGTCAACCTGAAAAGCAATACTTAACTTGTCTTGTGTCTTGGCCCAGGCATCTCTCCAGTGGAAGACCCTCCACATCAAATTCCATGCCCCTGCTTTGTGGATTCATATCACCTACCACAAATCACTACGCACATCTGCTTTCTAGTCCGCCTCCATCCCTGGACTGTGAACCCCCTACACATGTCTATCCAAAACACCTATACAACAGTGCCTGGTTCTGTGTTCAAAAAATATATTCACTGAACGAATGAACGAATGAACAGAACCCCCATGATTTCACAAACATTTGGCATCTTAAGAAACATGTGTGCATGGGTATGCATAATGGTATCTGTGTAAAAAGGGGACCTTAAAAGTCTGGAATGGCCGGAAGAGGAGTGTTTTTTAAAAAGTGATTTTTTTGAGTGCGTATATATATTAGAGGGAAAAAGATCACAAGAAAAGCATCAATTGATTTGTAAGTTTGTGATTATTGTAGGAATAGGAGTTGAAAATATACATGTTAATAGTATTTTGTGAGTTGACTTGGTGTGTGAGAGAGAAAATACATTCTAATAAGGTTAGCTCAGCTACTATTAGATCCCACAGATCACTCTTCCTGAAGTCGAAATGGCTTCATTATGTTAAGTTTCTGATCCCTAAAAAGATTTCCATAATCTTGGTTAACCTCCCAGGCACAGGGTCAGGGGAAAGAAGAGGAATGAAAATGACGGAGCTCTGAGGAAGTGCATGGCTTTAAACGAAGGTGTGTGAGTAACACTGGACTTCTGCTTGGTGGGCTGAATAAAGTTCCTTAGACTCAATCTGAGCCCAAATCAATACCCACTCTCCTCCCCACCTGCTCGAGGGTGGGGTGGGATCCAGTGGTCACCCTGATAAGGTCCAACCATAAGAAAACAGAAAGGATGCAAACTAACCACCAAGAAGAGAAAAAGAAGGGAGAAAGGTAATTGAACCATCCTAGGGGTAGTTCTATGGACCCGCCTGCAGAATGGTTTGACTCTGCAAATGATCTGGTTTCCTTTGTTCTATTCCATTTTTGGACCAAGTTTCCGCCCTTCACAAGGTGCGCGGGCTGAGGCTGGGCTCCCCGCCTCAGCAGGGCCGCTCTCTGCTGCCCTCTGCCGGTAGGGGAGGGGGACGCGCCACCATCTCGGCCCCTCAGCCACGGCCAGAGCTGCCACCAGCTCCCCTTTGTGAGGAAGGGAAGCCGAGGCCTCTGCCCTCTGCCTGTCCCTCCCCCGGGGAATCGAGGGGCTCAGGATGGGGGCGCTGTAGGTTTTGAGAAAGCAACCGTGCCCCAGGAGGGGGAATCCAAGTTAGCCAAGCTCAGACCCTCACTCCCCAAGGCAGACGCACCACACCCTCCCTCCTGGCTCCAGGCCCTCCCATTGCACCATCACCCTCTGGCAGGGGGCGGGCTGCCAGACCGTGGCGGGTTTCTGACACTGTTTTCTTCTTGGAAATGGAAGCCCTCCTTCCGGCAACGTGGCAGGCAAGCCCTGGGCCGGGGAGCTGAGAACATTTTGGAGAGCGCAGGTGGAGGCCTGGGGCCTGCGGGTGCGGCAGGCAGGCAGGCAGTGCAGTCCCCGCTATCGGCTATGCCCCGCAGGGCCCTCTTACCTGCTGTTGAATTTTTCAGGGTGTTTCTCTCTCATCACGTGGAACCTGTGTGCAATGGAAGCATCCTGGAAGGGAAAGGGACAGAAAGCAGATTCCTGGTTAGTGGTCCTGACCCTGTGCAATGTGGAAGAAAGGGAAGGGGCACACTTTCACGGAACTTCCCAGATGTCAGGGGGAGACCAGAGAGGTTCCTGGGCAGAGCCTGGACACCAGATCCAAGGTTAGGGGCGAGGGCCCTGATGCTGTTAGAGCTGATGCCAGATGACTCCTCCTAATGTTCACTCTCTACCCTTTCTAGTTCAGGGTGAGTTAAGGGGATGATGCTGCCCTTTGGAGGAAAGGCTTGCCCTTTGGGGAGAGGGAGTGTGTCTGAGTCTGTGAGCAGTGAGAATGCAGAAGCCCATATGGGGCTGAATGTGTTTGGAAATGCCTCACCCTATTCACTCTTTAAAGAAATACTTTGTATTCTGGAATATTTTAAGACTCCTATGTAGTTGTAAAAATAGTACAGAGAGTGCCTGTGGCCCTTTCACCCATCTCCCCCCAATGATAACATCTTATGTAACTATAGTACATGGTGGAAACCAGAAAACTGATGTTGGTAGAGGCTTTTACATATTAACTCTTAGTCATCCATATCAGTAGACAGAATTGGTAGCATTGGATAACAGGCTTAGCAGATAATTAAAAATATATTTAGACTTCTGGCTTTTGCCTCTTGATCACTCCATGGAAAGGACTCTCCCCAAAGTCAGTAAGAGTCTCATTACCACATTCTATGGATACTTTGCTATCCTACTATTAGCACATTCCTTTGCTCTGCTTCAGCCACCTGCTCCTCAGTTAGGATGGCTCTCATGTCACCATGCTTCCGGGCTCTTCCTGCTCAGAGCAGAAGAACCTCTCAGCCTTGAATCCATTCTGCAGCCTACATTCCCTGCCATGGGCTATATCCAGGTCTCTTAGTTGTTACCAGCATGTAGCTGCTGCTGTCTCTACAATGTATCACTGGAGAACCAATCCTGAACTTCAGACCTAAAACTGAACTCATCTTTCCTCCTCAGATTTGGTCCTCTGCCCTTGTTACTGGTCTCCTTTTCCAGCAGAAGAATGTGTAAAGCCCCTTCAGCGCTCAGGCCTCCCGCCAGCATGTCGGCTGCAGGTGGTGGGTTTTAGAAATAAACAGGCTAATTGAGCTGGGGCGGGAGGGGTGGGGGTGGGGGTGGTGACAGAACAAGGAAGCTGATTCAGATTTGTGCAGGGAAGAGACACAGAAACTCATTTACTGGAATGTGTAACTAAAAGAAAACTCAAATTCCATACAGTGAGTTTTTAGCTATATCAATTTCATTTCTTGATATGGAAATTCTAAAATTTCTGGAAAAAAATGTGAAACATCAGGAGGTATAGTTCAATGAAGCAACTTTCTTTTTTTTTTGAGCATGTGCTGTGAGTGGTGAGTAAAATACGGGCTAAGGGTGGGGACAGAAAATCCAGAAGCAAGATAGGGGCCAAAGGGGAGCTTTCGTAATATTTTTACTTGGCAGAAGAGTAAAGCCAGCGAGCAGCCCCCTGTTGAAAGGCAGACGGGGCAAGTCAAGGATATGGGTTTATTTTCTGGTTGGCTAACACTCTTTGCTGAAACAATGTCTTGGGAATTTAACATTTAAACTCCAGTTACTGATTTGTTATTTATTTAAGATACATCAGGAGTTGAAGTTGAAGCACCCTTGTGGACAATGGGAGGAGAGGGGGAACAACCGAGGAGGGTGGGGGGGCTGGTCTCTGTCCCCTTGGCGGATCCAGCCTGCACAGCTTCTCCAGGCAGGAGCGTTTCCTGCCCTCAGAGTGCGCCCACCTCCCTCCTAAGCAAGTTTTGTGAGCTTGCTGAATAAGATTCATGTGACATCTGTCAAATGCTTCTCTGGAATTCAAGAAACATTCCGTCTACTTGTGTTCCTTTGAAGCACTGATTTTCTTCTGTCAGGGGGAAAAAAAAACCAGAAGAAGAAAAAGAAAGAAAAGAAAAAAGCAATCACATGTTGCCTGGCAGGATTTGTACTTCACATTCCCCCACCCCCAATGCTGCTGTGACTGGCTCCTGGCTTTTTAATTCCCTAGGATGTGTGCATAGATCCCTGCCCTCTGTGTCATTCCCATTATCCTTGTTTTTTTTTTTTTTTTATAACTAGGTTTTGCAAAGGCTCTTTTTACAAAGACCAGGCTATACAATATTACTAGTTAAGCATGTGGTTCTGAATTTGACAGTGTAACCCCGTGATAAATACACAAAGTGGTAAGAGGGAGTTGAGCAGGTCCACTGTTCAGGTTTGGAAAGGCAATGCTGGTAAAGTCTTTAACCGTGTTTCTCTACCTGGGGATTAAGAAGAGAGGCAAGATTCATCTCCACCCTCTGCTGGGCTTCTCTGCGCCAGGCATTAAGCTAGCTGTACTTACATTCAGAGGTGAGTTCACTTAAATTTTAGAAATCAGTACTATAGTGGTTCCAAACCTTTCCTGTAATACTTGCAGCAAAATGAGTCTTCTATTTGCAAGGTGGGGGTGGAGGTGGGAATTGCACATCTATGGCTATGCTGCACACTCATTTCTGATGGCCTCACTCCCTGGGGTCCTTTCTATGAAGTGTGGGGTAAAAAGGAGATAAAAAGCAGTATGGACACGTGTCTACTCTTTCCTGAACTAAAACTCCCAAGTGCAGAGTTGGACGAAAGATTTTTGTGCCCCTTCCACATATAAGTGGTAATCATTTGGACTCTGAGCTATTTGGATGTCTAGGCCAGTCCTGTCCAATAGAAATAGATTAAAAGAATTTTAGTAACCACGTTAAAAAGGTGAAAAGGAACAAATTGAGTTAATTTTTATATTAATAATATATTTCAATGAATATTATCACTATAATATTAGTTAATATAAAAATTGAGATATTGAAAATACTTTCATACTACATTTCTGAAATTTGGTGTGCATTTTACATCTCTCAACTTAGAGTAGCTCCATGTCAAGTATACAATAGCCACATGTGGCTAATGGCTACCATATTGGACAATGTAGGTCTAAGTCACTTTGGCAACTTATGGAGATTAAAAGAAACAGAAAGGAGACAATAAGACAGGTCATTTGGTATTTGGATTGTTCTGAAGAATTATGGCTGATTGGGGGATGACAAAGAGTGTAGACCTCTCAGTTAGTCCATTGTTCCTGTAACTTCTTGACTCTCATAGGTGACAGATAAGAACCTGCGGCTGAAGGAATTGAAAAGTCTGCAGGGAAATGATGACTTTCTGATACATTCCCTAATGGGTTTGCCATTGCGGAAACTTAGCTGGTGAAGTCCAGTAAGTACAGAATGTGAGGTGAAAAATGGTGCGTGAGTTAGTGTGATGGCTGTGGCCCGTCCTTGGCCCCTGGGTTCCCCTCGCATCAGAAATAGATTTCATTGACTCAAGGGATTAGCTGTCCACCCATCCTGTTAAGGCTCGGTGAAAGCAGAGCCTTTGCTGTGTTCGGAATTACACATACCCCAGGAATGATTTTTCAGTTCCAAACTTCCTGTCATTGATACCTGGCCATCCTGACATGTCTGCAAATCCAAAAATAAAGAGCAGCGATGAAGAGGCCAGAGAAGTCAGAGGAAGTGGTGTCCTGAATGCCTGGGTTGAAAAGTCTCCTGCCAATGGATATTATCAGATGGAGGGAGTGAGAAGTTCAAGGATCTCAGCTCCTCACTGGTGGGGAACTGGGGAGTCTGTGGCGGATGGGAATGCCGAGGCAACGAGGCCCTGTCCCTCTCAACACAGGCCAGGAGACTCTGCCCTCATCCCTCCATCTATGATGTGGGTTCTGTTGGCACCAACGGGAGTGTGTGCACTCATCAGAGTGAATTCCCTACCACGCAGGGACAGCTCAGCGGGGGTCACCATCGCCACCCTTATAAATGCAGCGGACACTCGATATCAGTAAGATATTCCAGGTCCTTCAAAAGAGGCGAAGACTTTGCAGCGCTCTCTTTGCCAAAGGAGTCCGACTCTAATCGTCTTAAGGAAGTAAAGCCGGGGGGTTGGTTTACATACTGTTTCTCCTCTTACAGAGTTTGGGAAGTCAAATAGGGAGCAAGAGCTTCTGCAAATATCAGCCCCAGATTCTCTTAGGGTTACATGTTGGCTACTTGTTTTCTCAAGAATTTCCCTTTCCAGCTTTTAAAGAGTGAGCACACAAACCCTGCAAGCATTTTATTGAGAGAAGGCTAAGGTTACACCAGTGAGAGAAAAACAATCCTGCTTCTTCACTGATTTGCAATAAAATATTAAACATGCACCAGCTAAAGGTATATGAAAAAAAAAAAAACCACGAGGAAGATTTTGTGAAGTTCTTAACTTGAAAGATGAGCGGATTGGATTACTGTAGGTCAGCCCGGGTTGGATAAATATCTTGACCGCTGAGGGAAATGGAGAATCTATTCCTATGCTTTTCCTGGGGGGGCAGTTAGTTTGTATTTGTCCTTTTTTCCCCTCCCTCCTGCCCATTCCCCCACTCACTTCCTTCTTATTGGTAAGAATATATTAAAACCACGCTCGGTCTTGTCGCGTGGGATTAGGGCTTGGTTATCTAGCTGAGAGAAGGTTGTCTCTTCCTTTTTGGCATGATTGGCCATTTGGTCAGCAGTACTGAGTGTCACTGCATATGGTGCTTTGTAGAGATGGACAGGGAGGCCTTGGGAGTACTGTTGTTTCTGGCAGCCAGAGCTGGGCGCGAGAAGAGAAGACTTGGGGTTGAGGACTCTGAAGGCAGCCGAGGGCGTAACCCACCCTCTAGAAGCTCCCAGGCAGGTCACCCGGTCCCGCGGCTTGGCTCTCACTTCGGGCCTATGGCTTACAGGTGCTGGTTCCCCCTCCTTTCTGCCTTTCCTCTCCTTCATCTGCTTCAGATCTGGTTTCTGTTCCTGTGAACAACCACTTCCTCTGACTATCCTTCTCTGCTCTAATGGGTTGTCTTCACTCACTGAGGACTTGATCAGGACCGTCTGCATCAGAATTATCTCAGGGGCTTATTAAAGGTGCACATTTCCAGACTTGCCCAGACCAGCTGAATCAGAATATGAATCAGGATCTGTCATGTGTGTGGAATCTGCATTTCTGACCGAGGGTACAGGTAGGGTATGGGTGAGCCCATCACACAGTAAATTTTGAGGATGCCTCTCTAATGCTGCTGCATTTGGCAAGGTGGGCTATGGACATTAGGGATTCCCAGCTCCATCAATCACCAGCTTGGGCGGGTCACTATCTTTCTAAGCTATAGTTCCTTCTTGCAAAATGCAAAAGGGCAAAGGCTATACCCTCCAAAAGGGACACTGTGCCTGGTGTGCAGTAGGTACTCAATACATGTCAGCAAGACATTCTCTGGTTACCACAGGAAAAAGGACACATGTTTCAGTCATACTGTAATGGAGGGAAGAGGCATGCTCCAGAATTCCCCTGGCCTCCAACACCAGACCTGTCAGCCAAGTCTCATTTGCAGGAGCTGAAAGCTGCATGTCCCCCTCGCATGAAGTGGAGCCTGAGCAGGTGGCTCCAAAGGAGGAGCTTTTGAGTCAAAAAGAGGAAGTAGGGGTCTCCTCTGCCTACGACACAGGAGGATGAGCTTGTAGGTCCTAGGCAAAGGTATCTCCCCCGACTAAGAAGGGTGCAGGGGAGCTCAGGAGATCAACCAGATCAGGGCAGCAGAGACCCCGAATATATTTCTCGCCAGCACCTCTATCCTTTCAGAGCGCATTCACAAGTCGAGCAATGCCTCTCTCTTGTTTTAGTTAATAGAAAAAGAGTTGGGGACTGGGAGTCAGAGAATGAAAGCAGATCCCTTAATCTGATCCTCTATTTCCTCACTCACCAAATGGAGGGAATACTGCCCTCCAGTGTAATCATAAGAACCAAGAAAATATCTGTAAATATGGTAAATTTTACATCCCATAAATATAAGGGATTATTATTTTTCCTTTTTGATTCCATGGCTCTGCTTTTAGTTTCTTTATTAAGAAAACAAAACATCCTTTCCTTAACCCTGTTCTTCCCTCAAACTACCTATCATTTCTCCTTTTCTCTCCTTTTTTAAAAACCACCAACATCTGCAAAAGAGGCAGAGGTGATGATTGAGAGGGTCACACAGTCTTGGTCTGGAGGGATTCATGTGCATATGAAACTGGGCAGCATAGTTTCCAAGACAGCAGAGAGAAGGACCTGGTTTCAGAGTGAGGCACAGTGTGTGTGCCCTAGTTCCAGCACTTCCATGTTCCGTGTCCTTAAGTTTCCTCTGTAACATGCAGATGGTGGGGATGATAATACCTGCAGGATTGCCGTGAGGACTAGAGTAAAGTCTAACGCACTGGAGAACACATAGTAGGTGCTCAATAAATGCTACGTTTCACCTTCCTCCCAATCCCCAGATCTATTTATGGAAAAGACTGACACCTTTTCCCCTCAGTCATGTCTCTAACAATTTGGGAAGCAATGTCCAAGCTATGCACTTGGACCAGAAGCTGAGTTCAGCAAAACTAACAGCTGTGCTATATGTGATGGGAGCTGGGGGAGAAAGAGGAGTGTGCTGCTGTCCTTATACTGTGTGTGTGTTTGTATGTACATGTGTATGTACATGTACATGTATATATATGTATTTATGTGTACGTGTGTGTGTGTGTGTATGTGTATTGCTGGAGGGCTGAGTGAGGTACATGGTAACAAACCCTTTAGTTTAAGGCAGAGGTGACCACAGAGGACTGTGGGAACTTAGGGGGAACACAGCTCAGCCTAAGGAGTCAGTGAGGAGGAGATGCCCCAGAGGCTTAGATGCACTTGGAGTGTGGGGAGTGGGGTTAGGAAGAGGAGAAAAGACAGGAGAAAGAGAATTCTGAGAACTAATCCAGGGAGCCAGCTTGAGACCACAACGTCTTCCCTGGAGCATCAGCATTTCTATCTCTGGGAGCTCACCCAAGAATCTCCTCCTAACCTCATCCTTGGTTATTTTTTGGTGTTGCTTTTCCTTAACTATTTCAAATTATCCAAAAAGTAATAGGTCTTTTGAAAAATGTGCTGTTATGATGGCAAAAAAACACATGAAAAGATGCTCAACATCACTCATTATCAGAGAAATGCAAATCAAAACCACAATGAAGTACCATTACATGTCAGTCAGGATGGCTGCTATCCAAAAGTCTACAAGCAATAAATGCTGGAGAGGGTATGGAGAAAAGGGAACCCTCTTACACTGTTGGTGGGAATGCAAATTAGTACAGCCACTATGGAAAACAGTGTGGAGATTTCTTAAAAAGCTGGAAATAGAACTGCCATATGACCCAGCAATCCCACTTCTGGGCATACACACTGAGGAAACCAGATCTGAAAGAGACACATGCACCCCAATGTTCATCGCAGCACTGTTTATAATAGCCAGGACATGGAAGCAACCTAGATGCCCATCAGCAGACGAATGGATGAGGAAGCTGTGGTACATATACACCATGGAATATTACTCAGCCATTAAAAAGAATTCATTTGACTCAGTCCTAATGAGATGGATGAAACTGGAGCCCATTATACAGAGCGAAGTAAGCCAGAAAGATAAAGACCATTACAGTATACTAACACATATATATGGAATTTAGAAAGATGGTAACAATAACCCTATATGCAAAACAGAAAAAGAGACTCAGATGTATAGAACAGACTTGTGGACTCTGTGGGAGAAGGCGAGGGTGGGATGTTTCAAGAGAACAGCATCGAAACATGTATATTATCTAGGGTGAAACAGATCACCAGCCCAGGTTGGATGCATGAGACAAGTGCTCAGGCCTGGTGCACTGGGAAGACCCAGAGGGATCGGGTGGAGAGGGAGGTGGGAGGGGGGACCGGGATGGGGAATACATGTAAATCCATGGCTAATTCATTTCAATGTATGACAAAAACCACTGCAATGATGTAAAGTAATTAGCCTCCAACTAATAAAAATAAATGGAAAAAAAAATAAAATAAATTAAAAAAACAAATAAATAAATCAAAAAAAAAAAAAAAGAAAGAAAGAAAAATGTGCTGTTATTTTCTTGTGTTAGGTAAAATGATAGGGGCAGGAACTTCCTGCATAAATAAGGACAGGACTGGGTGCAGTAAGGATGTCCACACCCAGGCTGGATGCGAGGATGCCTGGACCCAAGTTGAGGCAGGGGGAAGCTGGGACAAGTAAAGAGTAGGGACCCAGAGTGGACAGTGAAAGACTAGAAACCTTCCTGCCCACCTGGGCACTTCTCTCCCATGCAGAAAAGCCATTCCTGGCCAACTCACCACGCCGATGGAGAAATAGTTGTTCATGATGTTGTATGGGACCTGGTCTCCATTCTCCACCTCCTCTCTGGGGATGACTTCCAGATGCCAGCGGTCCAGCATCACCAACGGGCTCTGCTCGATGTCCTTCAGGATTTTTGTCAGGCTGCCCCCTTCATAACCTGTGGAGCGCAGCACTGCATTTGCCCCCAGAGCAGAAAGGCTTGGTTGCTGCTCATGCAGCTATCAGGGTGGGGCACCCCTTGGGCACCCCCAGTGTGTCCAGGCCAGAGTCACTTAGGTTTCCTGAGCCACAGAGAAGGAGAGGACAATCTGGAGTAATTAGAAAGAAGCCAGTGCGATCTGGAAGCCAGAGTGGCAGGGGCAGGGCCGGGTGCTGGTCAAAGATGGGTAGGCCTGTGTAGCTGAAGCGAGGCCTGGGGAATCAGTGCGCGGATGGCTGGGAAGCTGCACATAGGAGAACTAAGGATCTGTTCCAGGACTGTGTCATGATGCAGATGGACAATGCCATAGGCAGAATTTTAGGATAGTCACCACATTTCTTGCCCTTGAGGGATATATACCCAGCAACCCCCAGGACCTGTGGATAAGATGGGCTAGTCAGTTGTGATTTGGTATATTATATGGCACAGCTGACTTCAAGGAGGCAAAATTATCCTAAGTGGATCTGACTTAATCAGGTGAGTCTTTAGAAAGACTGGGCTTTTCCTTAAGAAATAGGTCTGAAGCTTGAGAGGGACTGGGACTGAGGGAGAGTCTCTTTTGCCAGCTTTGAAGATGGAGGGATGAATCACGCAAGGAATGAGGAAGGCCTCTAGGATATGAGAGTGATCCCAGCTGACCACCAGCAAAGAGACAGAGACCTCAGATCTACAAAGAATGGAATTCAGCCAACAACCTGAAAGAGTTTCAGAAGGAAATTCTTCCCTTAGCGTCTTCAGAGAGGAGCACAGCCTGTTCAGTGCCCTGATTCTATCTGGTGAGGCCTAGTCACATTGTTCTAGGATTTTTTTTTTCTTAAAGCATTTATTTGGGTGCACTGGGTCTTAATTGCAGTACATGGGATCTTGGTCCCTGACCAGGGATTGATACCAAGCCCTCCACATTGGGAGTGCCGAGTCTTAGCCACTGGACCACCAGGGAAGTTGCTGTTCCGGGATCTCTGACCTACAGCAGCTGATACAAGGATGTTTTAAGCCTCTATGTTTATAATCATTAGCTGTTACATAGTTTGTGGTTGTTTAGTGGCTAAGTCATGTCTGACGCTTTGCAACCCCATGGCCTGTAGCCCTCCAGGCTCCGCTGTCCATGGGATTTCCCAAGTAAGAATACTGGGGTGGGTTGCCATTTCCTTCCCCAGGGGATCTCCCCCACCCAGGAATTGACTCCTCTCCTGTGTCTCCTGCATTGGCATGCAGATACTTGACCATTGAGCCACCAGGAAAGCCCTTGTTTGTACACAGTAGCAATGGAAAACTGTATCGAGTGAACTGTAAGTAAGAAGTTAGTGGGAGAGACAGTCTTTTCTTTCAAATAACACTTCCATGTTCCTGCTTACCTCTGGTACAAGCTTGAAGAGCATTTTCAAGCTCTCAGGGGTCTGGTCAGCATCTCAGGGGATGCATCACAAGATAGCAATGAAAGTAATGAGGTAGCTGAGGGCCTTGATGCTAACTGGGAACACAGAGCTGTGGGAAATTTGTGCCTCACTCTGCTGCCTAGATGCCCAGAGTCTGAGGCCACAGTCTGCTTGTCTCTCTTGAGTAGAGGGTCTTTCCCAAGCCCAGTGTGTGGCTGAGGACCCTGGCAGCTCTTCCCAGGCCTGCCAGCTTCCTTCTGGGGCTAGCTTCTGCTTGCTCTGCCCCCGCCCTCCAAGCAGGCACACTTACCGCTATGGGCCTGGTCTTGGATCACTCCCAGAATTGATCAGCCATCTGGAGTCTCATCCCAATTCTGCCTGCCAGCCTGATCTGTCCGCTCCAAATGCTGTCCTGAACCTCTCCACTCTCTGGAGCGTGCACAGCTCCAAGGGGGCTGCTGCAGTTTGCAGAGTTCTTAGCTCCTGTCCATTGCCCTATAAGCTGGTTACTACTCTGAGGTCCCCCTTAGGGGAATTTCAGAATGAGAGGCCCTGGCCCTGGGATGATCTGAAATGCCCCTGGTAACTGGTTAATTGGACTTTTCAGTCTGCATTCTGAGTCCCAATTCAGAAGAAGGTCAGTAATTTGGAGAGGGGGAATGTCAGGCAGAAAAATTCCTATGTGAGCCCTGACTGGGATGAACCCTGGAGAGGAGACAAAGGAGTTGACTTGTTCTGCAGAAGGAGACGGAGCTTTTCCAGTGGCTCAGTGGTAAAGAATCTGCCTGCAATGAAGGAGCCCTGGGTCAGGCAGATCCCCTGGAGGAGGGCATGGCAACCCACTCCAGTATCCTTGCCTGGAGAATCCCATGGATGGAGGAGCCTAACGGGCTACAGTTTGTGGGGTCACACAGAGTTGGCCACGACTGAAGCGACTTAGCACACAAGCACACACACAGAGGGAGACAGATTCAAAGTCGAGAGTTTCAGGCTGATAGTAAATCTTGTGAAGGGCAGACACAGGCCCTGGCACCAGGGAAAAGGCATGGATTAGAGATGACCCCAGGGTTGAGTATTTCTCCATGGAATGTAATCCTTAAGAGTGGAGCTAGCCTAGCTCTGCAGAGCCTCCCTATAGACTGGGGTGCTTGTCCCTAGGATACTGCCCCTCCCACGCAGACTCACCTCCTCCCCAGCGGAGACAGCGGGCCAGGTCATTTCCTGTTCCAAGAGGCAGGACAGCCACAGGTGGATGCTTTGCAAAGTTGGCCTTATCTGCAACCCATGAAGAGGAAGAGAACCATATGCCACATGATTACAGAAGGTTTAAGTTGTTCAGTTATCTCTTATCTAATGCTTGAAAGCCTCTATGTCATTCTTTGTTTGAATACTTCTCCTCTTAGGGGAACTCACTACTTCCTAAAGCTATCTCTTCCATCTGCAGTAAGCTAACCACTGCAAAGGAGCCTTCATATTGAGCTAAATCTGTCTCCCAGTAACTTACACCTGGTTCATCCTCATTTCATCCTAATTCTTTCCAAAGGGTGACAGTGGTATACCTCAAAAACATTGGTTTGCATAGTTTTAATCTTCAATGATAACAAGCATTTACCACACTTATCCCTTACACAGACCCTGCAAGATATTATCATTCACATGGATGAAGAAATAGAGGTTCATGGAGGGAAAGTCATTCTAGAGCCAGCATCCAAACCCAGATTTCTGCACCTCCAAGTCCAAACTCCTTTCTTCAGAGTCTAAGCAGCTGCATAAATAGTAAAACAGGTGGGTCTGAGACATCAGAAACTGAAGATGCCTCACCTCAAGTCATTCAGGTTCAAAAGCTTAAAAATAACATTGCATCTAACAAGCCAAACCCTGAGATGTTATCTGGCACCTAGGGAACAGTTTGCCACTTCCACCACCTCCCAGACTTGCAAACACACAGAGTCCTGATCCTATCTCCCAAGATGGCTGTGATGGAGCATCAGGCCAAGCCATTAGAGAAAGCATAGCATAACGTGTCTGTTTTCATCTGGTTGCATATCTACAGCAGCATGTTGACTGTGCTGGGAAAGCTGAAGGAGGCCAGACACCCACTGGGTTCCAGGGGATATCACTTATATAAAGCTCAGAGCATCTGATGCCAGGGAAGGATGCAGGTGATGTGACTGGGGAGCACGGCTGGGGATGGAGTGGGGGGCAACGCAAGAATCATCATCCTGCATGAGGTTATACCATGCAGGGCTGCCCCGGCAGAACAGGTGACCGCCCCCCGCCCCCCCAACCCCTGACCGTCCCCACAGGTGGTCATACTCATGCCGGAAATGGCTGAGGCAAGGCTCAGGGCTGAGGTTACTGCCAGGAGGGTTGAGATGGAGTAAGTTGGTGGACTCTCTTATTCCTCAGAACAATGCATTTATGCCTCTGGCCTTTGCTGGGACTCTTCCTTTCCCTGGAAGACCCTTGTTTGTTTAAGTCTGCCCCTTCTTCTGTGGCTCCCTTTGCAGCAGATCAACCATCCTCACAGTGCTGAGGTTAGACACCTGGATGTAATTCTAGATTTTTCCTTCTCCCTCACCACACATCCGTTTACACATCAATTTCTACATGCTGTCTCCATAGCTTTCCAGGCAATCTCTCCTCTCCCTTCCATGGTGCTGGCTGAGTTCTGACACAGTTTGAGTCCTTCCCAGTGCTATTGCTGCAGCGGCCCCTCTTTGTCCTCTTGGCGTCCAGTTTCACCCCCTGGTATGTTCTCCACAGGTCCACCTGGGCAGGCAATCCTTGAACCCACAAGCCTGATCACACTAGTCTACCGTTTTGCCTTCTGCCATGACTCTCATCACCCCTTAGCCTGGCAGCAAGGCCCTTCTCAGCTCTGCCTTACTCTCTAGCCTCATCCTTCTCTCGTCCTGCTTCCCACTCACTATGTCAACATGGGGTTCAATGCAGAGGCCCTTCCTGGTTGGCCTAGTCTGGACCTCGTGCCTCTCCAGAGTGCTTCTCTAGTGCCAGGGATGATCTCATTCACACTATTTTGTACATGACTACTTGTTTGTTCCCCAGATGTACTGTGACCTTCCTGGGGGACCTGTATCTCATTTGTCATCGGAGCTCCACACCTTTACTGAAGGCCTAGATGCTGTGCTAGGTGCTCCAGCTCTAATAGCAGGCAGAAAAAAAAAAAAAAGACATGGCTCTGGCTCTCATGGTACCTACCGTTGAGAGGGAGAGATAGCTATTAACGAGGTAATTGGTGCATAATTTCAAATTATGCGGAAGGAGGGGACTGTGGTCCTGTAATGAGTGATCAGGGAAGGCTTCCCCAAGGAAGGCTGAGGTCAGAAGTAGAAGCCGATCAAGCAAAGGCGAGGGAAGCAGAATAGACAGGCCCTTTGGTAGAAGGGACATTAGTGTCTTCAAGGGTCAGAAAGGGATTGAGTGTTTGAGGGGGAGGCTGGGGGTAGGAGAGGCTGGAAGGGTTGGCAGCTGCTAGGCACCACTTTGGGCCCCCTGAAGCACTGGTTTTATCTAAGAATCCTGAGAATCCACTGATGTGCTTCACACACATCACAAACCCACTGACATTCAGGAAGGACCACTCTGGCTATTGCACGAGAACAGATCAGAGAGAGAGCTGAAATGGGGCGGCAGAGAGCACTGAACAAGGGCCTCAATCTCTTGAATGAATGAATGAATGAATGAATGAATGAATGAATGAATGAACATTGTCCAGTTATTCCTTTTACTCTTGTTTTTTAATCTGTTTTTTAACCTGTGAAAAAAACAGATCATCTCACATGCTCTTTCTGTTCTGGGCAGCATGTATCACCTGTGTTCTCTGCAGATGAATTTTATAAAGCTTGTCCGCAAACCCTACTTTCTCCTTCCTGATGGAGATGGAACCCTACAAGCAGCTCCTAGCACTGCAGCCATTCACCCTCTGCTGATCAGCTTTCTCTTCCCCGGCTCCCAGAGGATGCCTGCCTCCTCCCACAAACAACTCCAGAGCCCTAGGTGACAAGAGAGCGTGGGTGGCTGCTTGGCAGGGCCGTGTCCATGGAAACCAAAGTGCCTGTGGGGGAGCAGATGTGGCAGGTGTGGGGGATGCCTGTCCCAACCCAGGTGGTTTGCTTACGACCCCTGGGGGCCCAGCCTTCACCACCCTGTTCAGAGTCTATCCTGGCCCATCCTCCACTCCCCTCTTCCCAGAGGAAGTCCTTGTCTCCCACGGGAAGTCAGCGTATCCTGTGGGCTCCATCTTCCAAAGATACCCAGACCCTGACTCCTCCTTACCACCTCCTCTGTCTCCACTGTGGTTCAGGGCCCAGGTCCCCTCCTTGGGTCTCTGCGGGAGCCTCCTAACTGGTCTCCCAGCTCCCACCCTTTTTAGTTTCTGTAATCTGTTGTGCCCCTGCTTTACTCGAAACAATCTAGCATCTTGGGACCTTTGCATTGTGACAGCCGCATTCCGTGTCATGTCGTCCATGTCCTAGTGACTTGGCCCTGCTCTGTCTCTGCGTTACCCCCGGCCCCTTTCCCCTCACGGACTCCACCCTGGGCACACTCTGCAGCCTCCTCACTGGCCTTCTCCTGCTCCTGCCTCAGGGCCTTTGTATCTGCTGTTCCTTCTGCCTGAATTACTCTTTCCTTGGGCATCCATGAAGCTCACTCTCCTCCAGGTCTCCATGCAAATGTCATCTGCTCCTCAGGGCCTTCAAAACCACCCTGCCTTAGTTTGCAACTCCGCTCCCACTGCTGAGCTCCCTCCGCCCATTTTCTGCTGTTCTCTTTTTTTAAAAAATCACTTTCTGTCATACTGTATGTTTCACTTATTTCTTTGTTTACTGCCTGCCTCTTCCCTCTAGAAGGAAGCTCCATGAGGGTGAGATAGTGTCCTTTATTTACTGCTGCATCGCCAGGGCTTCCACGGGGGCTGAGCACCTGGAGGTACGCAGGCAGGATCTGGGGAACAAAGGATGAAAACAGCCAAGCAGCCCAGGCTCCATGCTCTGGACTATCTCCACAATTCCCTTGGCTGATTTCCTGAGTTTATGTTCTATATCTCAGTGTTTATATGCGCTCTCCAGGGTTAGATCTTGAATGTATCCCTCGTCCCAGAATTTCAGAGTCATTCTCCATCATTTACTGGTGGTACTGTGTCCAAGGACCCACAAGTCCAGGCAGGCCTCCTGATTCCCAGCCCGGACCCTCCCCACCATCCCCATCACACTTTTGATCAAGGCATATGGGACATACCCCATCGTAGCTTTTCTTTGCTTGAACTGATCTGAGCTTTCTAGATGTGCTTTCTGGGCTCTGGGCTCTAGGTGTTCATCTCAAGGTGACTTGCCCTGCACTATGCATCTATTCTTAGTTTTCTTGCCTTTATCCAGCACCCTGGACCTGCCTGGGAGAAGGCAAAGGCACCCCACTCCAGTACTCTTGCCTGGGAAATCCCATGGACGGAGGAGCCTGGTAGGCTACAGTCCATGGGGTTGCGAAGAGTTGGACACGACTAAGAAACTTCACTTTCACTTTTCACTTTCATGCACTGGAGAAGGAAATGGCAACCCACTCCAGTATTTTTGCCTGGAGAATCCCAGGGACAGAGGAGCCTGGTGGGCTGCTGTCTATGGGGTCGCACAGAATCGGACCCACTGACGCGATTTAACAGCAGCAGCAGCAGCAGCAGCTGGACCTTCCTGGAGTCCCAGTCCTGCTGCCTTTCCCCCCAGTCTCCTTATCTGGCCTGTCTTGGAACTGCCAAAATCCTGCCCATGACAGATATTTTTGAAGCAAGGCCTGAGACTAAGCTGTTAACATCTGTACATGTGGGAATCCTTCCATTGTGTTTTCTTTCATCTACCCGAAGTAGTGAAGCACTCATCCAAGGGTAGAAACAAAGATAAACAAGACATGGTTCCATTTTTCTCTTTTATTACCTTCCTCTGACTTTAAATATGGGCTTCCCAGGTGGTGCTAGTGGTAAAGAACCCGCCTGCAAAGCAGGAGATGTGGGTTCCATCCCTGAGTCAGGAAGATCCCCTGGAGGAGGGCATGGCAACCCGCTCCAATATTCTTGCCTGGAGAATCCCATGGACAGAAGAGCCTGGCAGTCTATAGTCCATGGGGTTGCAAAGAGACATGACTGATGCAACTTAGCACGCACATGCACAACTTTAAATACACTTATTGTAAATCAACTACAAAGGTCCTTCCAGCTCATTCTTACCAATGCAATCCAAAATCCAGCCAACTGTCCCATCACCTCCACAGGCCAAAACACGGAAGTCTGGAGTATCGCGGAAAAAGTTAAGTCTGGGAAGTAGAAAGGCCAAAATAGTTTTGTTTACAGGCTGACCTTTGACACTCCTTGAGTCAGAGTCCCCCTACCCCACCCCAACACCCTGCTCCCTTCCCTGGAAGCATATTATGACCTTGACTCCTTTTGGGGTTGAAAGGGTCACTCAGTCTTCTGAAACCAGAATGTACTAAGCAATGCCATTGAGTATGAACCCCATGGAGCCATCTTTGTCTAAGGAGATTCTGACTCAATATTCAACACAGAAAATGGTTTTCTAGAAAATGTCTATGATTTATGCAGAGGAATCCACAGTTTGCTTATTTTGGCACCAATACAATTAACCCCCAACATCTGCCTCCTCTCTGGCTCTCTAACCTGCTCTGTCCTCAAAACCTCTGAGATGCATTGAACTAGCTGAATCTTCATCCCATCCCAGACCTAAGTGAGGTGAGCACCATCTCCCCTCAGAGGCCTTAACCCTGTAGAGCAGGGCTCTTAACTGGGGTGCATATCTAAGGGATCTGTGGGTAGAATCCAGAGGGCCTTGAACTTGGAAAAAATGTTACACTATTATCTTCCCTAAACTCTAACTGAAAATTAGCATTTCCTTCAACAATACCTGTGACTTTGTTAAGCAGCTGAAATGACAGGTATTTCAATGTTTTACTACAGTTGTGGCAGGCATTTTCTATTATCACTTCTGCTCATTACTGTTTTAATTTACAGCAGCTATTAGGCCCGCCTCTGGAATTGCTATGTAATGTCTTAATAAATCACGTGTATTTTTCTGTCACAGATTTGTTGTCTAACCTTTAGTAACTGTCTTTTCAATAAAATTTCCCTGGGTATTCCTATATACTTCATTTTATACATTAAAAAATATTATCTTAATATTAAGAGGGGGTCCATAGGCTCCATGAGACTGCTAAATGGGTTCCTGGTGCAAAAAAGGTTAAGAACCTCTGCCGTAGCACAGACAGGATCTGGGGAGACCTCGGGGTGGGGCTTGAGAAGCTGAAGCCCAGGGTTTCCTCTTTGCCCTGCTTGGTGATCTGAGGAGACCCCTGGGGTCTTCTGCCAATGCAGGTGTGGGCAAATTAACGTCCCCTCCCCGCCTTTCTCTTGTAGAACTCTTCTCTCCTGTAGAAGTGGATTCTGAATGAAGGCTACCTTCAGCTAGACAGCCTCTCTGCTTACAGGCTGACATATACAGCAGAGAGAGATACTCAGGGCACAGTGGGCCTAGAAGCAGCCACCAGGCTTGTCATCCTGGGCAAAGCCAACTTAGGATGGATGCGGTTAACGGGCAGTACTGTCTGTATTCAGGTGTCAAAATGCCCTAGAAGAGAGCAGGCTGGTAAAGGCGTCTGTGGGCTGCTGCTCAGTCACAAGTCACAAATGGAGCAGCCGTCGGCCATCATGGGGACCATGATGGCACGTGCAGCAGTACGTGGGCTTTATTTTGACATTAATTTTATACGTAAGTCACGGCAGAGGTGCTGAATTTGCACTCATGTTTCTTTCCCCTTTAGTGGTCTTGTATCATCACTGCCATAAATAATAGCTGTGTGTCAAACAACTGAAGACACAGTCTCTTCTTACTTATTTTTAAAAATGAAAAATACTTCAAAAAATTTTTGGCTATGCTGCATGGCATTTGGGATCTTAGTTTCCTCACCAGGAATTGAACCCACACCGCCTGCAGTGGAAGTACAAAATCCTAACCACTGGACCACCAGGGAAGTCCTCAGAGTCCCTTCTTAGAGTCTTTACCCAGACCCTCTTAAGGTCTTGGTGAGCCAAGCATAGTAATGCAAGTTTGGATGTTGGAAACCTCAGGCCAGGAAGCCCAGATCTGAGGACTGGCACTGAGACAGCCTCGGGCTGGCCGGCCAATGTCTCTAGTGCACTGGCTCCGGCTGGTAAGAAGGTCGCAGTCTTTGGGCGCCTTCCAGCCCCATTGCTGGAGGAACCTCTGATTACAGGGCTCATCATGTCACGGCTCCTCCCACAGAACTTGGGGAGAGCTGCAGAGGGGCTGCCTCATCTCCTTTTGTTGCTCCCCATCTCCTCAACACAGGGAAATAGCCAATAGGCAAATGACAGGAGACGGGCTGGTGGGGGTGGGGAAGGGGTGCACCGAACAACCTCTAAACTGGATGATTCAGGAAAAAATGTGATTTCATCGAACACCTAATTGTCTTGATCCTAAAATGCCTCGACAACAGAACATGCCGTGGAACTCTGAGTCAGCCGTATAGATTTCTGAAACACCGACAGACAGTGCTAAGAAAACACTTTTCTTCTCTCTGATGATTCAGTATGAAGATGCCAGCTAATACAGCCTTGTGAATAAGTTAATTTACCAGCCTGCCCTTCTGGCCAATCCCACAGATGACATTTGCAATTTTTCCCTCTTACAAAATCAATAGCTTTTTCTGGGATAAAGTAGACTAGGCTGCTTCCCAGAGTCAGCTGTAATGGGTGTTCCTCAGTATCTTCAGGAGGAAGTAAGAGTAGATAATGAGGAAAAGAAGAGACAAGGAGTGAATTGGTAGGAAGGACAAGGTTATGGACGAAGAGATTAAAAAAGAAAAAAACCAAACCACCCAGAAAGCTATCCTCTTTAGAGATTACAGGGGGCAGGGGAGAAATAAGAAGTAAAGATTGTGTCTCCATACCCTGGAGTAGGCCCCCCATTGTCCAGGTTGAAAACTTGTTTGGGGTTGAGCAGATAGTGGAATTTCCGAAGAATTCTATGGAAAAAAAAGAAAGAGAGAGAGAGAGACCAAGACAGAGAAGGGGAATGTCATTGTGAGAAGTCATAGGAGGGCAAGTACCTCTCCAGCCCAGTGATGGTGGGAACATGGGTCTCTTTAAACCCAAGAAGGGGAAGACTGCACATAGGTCCTGCACACCCTGAACTCCCAGGTCCAGCTGGCCTCACCCAGGCCCTCACCCTGGTTCAAAGTCTCCCCACCATCCAAGATTCTAGTCTCCGACCCCAGGAGTAGTACCCCTCGCACAGAGGACAGTGCAGAGCAACCCAGAGAACAGAACTCACATTCTCCTGAGGGCTTCTCCTTCATGGAGAACTTCTCCCAAATGTTCTGCATGTTCTAGGTAGTATGATTCTGCTCTTTGTGGACTAGACAAAGATCCCCCAAGTCCTGGGGTCAGGAGGCCATGCAGGAAGTGGAGTTAGGACAGAGGAGCACTGGGGGCAGTAGCCACATCTAGGCTTGGTTTCAAGGCTTCAGCTTGAGGCTAAATAGGTCAGTTCAGAAAGGGTGCTCTGCCCCTAGGATTGGGGTTTGTGGGGGGGTGGTGTCTCATAATTCTTGTTTAAGATCTGCTTGTTATTTTTTAAAGCGTGGATTCCAGATCACATGTCAACAATCCATTGCCTCAGAGCTGAACATAGGGAGGCAGAGCTGCTCTGCCCATCCCCCACTCTCTGCAGACTGGGCATTTCCTTCACTGATGAGACGTGTGCCCTGCTCTCTCGGGGTGGAATAGCCTAAGAAGTCTCAACTAGGTGCCTCTGCCATGTCTCTTAAATCAATAAAAGACTCGGAAGCCCGGGAACTTAACAGGCATCTTAGAACTTGGCCTGATTCTGGGAAACAGAATAATGGCCCATGTGACAAGTCCTAAGCACTATGTCTATCTTCATACTCTCAAAACCCCCATGGGAGGAGAAATGATTACTATCTTTATTTTACAGAGGATGAAACCAAGGCACAGGGATGTTAAGTCACTTGGACCAGGTCATCAAATGATGTGTGGTAGGGCTGGGACTGGACCACAGGTCTGCCATCTCCATAGCCTACTCGGTTATGGCTGAGGGGAAGAAAGGACCCAGATGAGGCTGTTCTAGCCTCTCCATCTCAAAAAAGAAGAGAACATACCTTTCTCCTTGTCTCCCTCCACTCTTGGGGTTCACCAAGACCAGCAGGGGGTGGGTACCCGGAGTGGGGATGATCTTATACTTCAAAGGCAAAAGAAAAAGAAGTTAGCTGTGTTTCAGCCCACAGGAAGGAATGCAATGAGAGTGGATACTAAGACAGGTCCTGGGAGAGGCAGCTGGGAAGCAGATCCAGGCATGGGGTAGAGGAGGTCAGGAGGCAGTAGGTGCTGCTCCACTGGCTTAATCTGAGGGATTAAGCAGTTAAGTGTCTCCAGCCTAAGTGGTTTTTAAGTAGCATTAATGGTGACAAGGGTTTGAGGTGGGGATCAGAGATGGGGCTTCAAATTATTCAGCAATGGTGTGGCTTTGTGCCCACAGCACAAGATTAGCTTTTGTGAAGATACAACTGAAATGATCTTAGAAAATATGGCCATCCGTATGTCCTACACCTAAATAGAATGGAGCTAATCATCACTTCCACCCCCAGCATCTTTCAAATCCACATTTGCAGCCCCAATTTTCCTCCCGAGCTCTGGTTCCACCTTTCTCACTGTCAAAGGCGGTATCTTCAGCCACTGGAACATGCCCCAAATCTGACTTACCTTCTTTCCCCCCAGAACTGGTCCTCTCTCCTGGCTACTATTATTATTCATCCAGTCACCCAGGGAAGACCCTGTCCTGCCAGCTCTTTCCCTGGAATGTCTCATTACCTCCGGCAGCTGCCACAACGCCCACACTGCTCAGGCCTTTCTCACCTCAGGTGAAGCCCGTAAGCTGCCCCCACGCAGTTCTTTCCCAGGTATCACTAGTCATATCACTCCTGCTCAAAATCCTTTAATGACAGCTCATTACCCAGAGGATAAAATCCAAACCTGCTAACCTGGCCTGCAAGGTATTTATGTGTCGCCCCATTCTATCGTTCTCCCTTAATCACTCTAACCTTCACGGCAGTTCCAGCCAAGTCTGGCTCTTACCCTCTAGTGAGTGAATTCCCACCCTGTGGGGCTGCTCACACTGGTTTCGTCTCCTCCTCAATGCCCTGAAATGCCTATTGCCTTCATAGAAACCTTAAGAAAAACTTCTCATCCTCAAGGCCCAATTCAAGACCTACTTCGTCTATGAAGTTTTGCTTGATCACTGCAATGAAAACTATTGCACTTGAAGCATATAATATCTTCTGGGTTTCGTTTGGTATTGTTTATTTGCATTTTTTTATTTTCTCAGGTGAAGCGAAAGTGAAAGTGTTAGTAACTTAGTCCTGTCTGATTCTTTGTGACCACATAGACTGTAGCCCACCAGGCTCCTCTGTCCATGTAATTCTCTAGGCGAGAATACTGGAGTGGGTAGCCATTCCCTTTGCCAGGGGATCTTCCCGGCCCAGGGATCGAACCTGGGTCTCCTGCATTGCAGGCAGATTCTTTACCATCTGAACACCAGGGAAGCCCAAATGTCTCAAAACATCAACTGGATATTAAATGTCTCAAGGGCAGGGTGGGAGTGTGTATAATCCTCCTACCAAGGATCCCGTTGCCCCAGAGACAAGTGTACTCAGTAAATACTTGTAGCTTCAGCAGAAGGATACACCAATACAGAGGTGCAGTGCTCACTGTCTTATGCCTACTTTTCCATATCTCAAGCTAAAAATTCAGCAAACCCAGTGCCAGATAAGTTGAAATGGACGGCAACATTCTTTATACATTTTAGGAATTTTTTCATCAGCCAAAGATGATTATTTGTGTGATACCCAGAAGCATCTGGGAGACTGAGAAGTAAATCTTTACCTCTGGGGGTGATATTCAGAATGCTGAACAACCTGCGTACATGGACACTGTCCAATCAGAACAGATGCAGGATAAGCAGATAGATGGCAGCTGTGAGCTGACATATCTGCACTGTGTGCGTGTGTGTGCATGCTCCATCTGACTTTCTCCCCTTCAAGGTATCTAGAGTGCTACCACATGAAGCTTCTGCCATTACTGTGGCTTATGTTTTATACTCATCTACAAGTTCTCTTCGAATCTTGGAGCATCTCTGGGAGATGGGCAGTGCAGGGATTCGCTGTGTCCCTTTTCAAACAAGGAAACTTAAGGGTCAGAGGGAGAGGAGGAGGCCCCAGTGTTCTTTATCTGTTTCTCATTCTACCTTACCAGGCTGTCTTTTCTGTATTCCCTGGCACTTTGTGAAAGGCACAAAGAGAAGTTCACTGGTGAATCCAACTAAAAAAAACCCCTGAGTTCTTAAATACACATTTAAGGATGAAGGAGAACTTTTGGATCTATTTAACTCTTTTGGCAGATCACGTTCTGGAGACAGCTTGGCAGTCTTGGAAAACCCAATTGTCTATTTTTAGGCCACATTCTTGTTATTATTCAAGGGGTATGCGTATTGAAGTTTTATGCAGCATGTTCCTTAAAAGGTGATAAAGCCAGTGTGGCCAGCTACGGGATCAGCCAACCTCCCTTTGCACCACTTGCCTACAGTGTGGTGGTCAAAGGTAACTCCAGAGACTGGAAATCCAGTGTCTTGTGCAATATAATCAATGAGATAAGAAAGCAGATGTTAAGATATGTTTCTCTGGAACTCAAATCCTGTCCTTCCCTCACAGCCTTGGACCAGCTTAGAAGGAATGAGTAGACTCAGGGTTTGCTGAGGTACCTGCATGACAAGTTCACCCTTGGCTGACACGCTACCATCAGACTTCCCATCTGGCCTGTCCTGTGAAAAGAGAGGAAAGACAAGCATTCTTTGAAAAAAATATGCCTGCTACAAAAAAAGAAATCAAAAGAAAAACAAATGGTTAATATAAAGAAAGAGAATAGAAAACCAGTAAAGCATAGGATGGAGTCTTCAAAGTGAGGCTTTGAATCAAAACAAAGAAATGCTCCCTTTGGGTTCCTCAAAGACTCTCCAGGCCTTTGTCATCACTTGCCCTGACTTTGACTTCGAGACACTGGAAGGAACAGTGTTTCAGAGGAAACACTGAAATGGGCAGAAATCTACTCTGTTGATTTAGAAGCTTGATCTCTGAGAAGCAAGGTCTGAGATTTGGTTTCTATGCTTACCACTAACCTAAATCATATGACACTAAGTCATCTGTCCTGTTTTGTTTTTTCTTCAATGTTTATTTATTCATTTTATTGAAGTTTGTGTCACATACAGTAAAATGTTCAAATCTAAACCTACAGTTCTATGAATTTCTGCATATGTACATGCTCTTGTCACTACTGCATCTTCTGGTATTGTTCTATTGTGACTTCTGATGCCATATTGACTTTGCCTGTCTTTTGAATCTCATATAAATGGAATCACATACCATGTCTTTTGAGTCCAGCTTCTTTTGTTCAGCATTATATTTTTGGGATTACCCATATTTTTGCATCTAAGCATGGTTCTTTTCCATTGTGATATAGTATTACATTATGTGAATCTGCCTCATCTTATTAATCTGTTCTCATGAGGGGTCATTAAGCTTGTTTCCAGTGCTTGACTGTTATGAATAAAGTTGATAGGAACATTCTTGTGCATGTCTTTTGGTGGAATAAATGCTCGTATTTCTCAGACAGATAGACAGGAGGGGACCTGTTGAGTCATAGAGTTTGTGTAACTTCAACTTAGTAGATACTGCCAAATGGTTTTCGAAAGTGGTGGTTTTTTCCTGTCAATTTTTAATGAGAAAGAAGATGGTCAAGTAAAGGGTGAAATGTGAGGAGTCAGTGATCCTCAGCCACATCTCTAAGATGAAAAGAGAACAATTTAAGGTCTTTGGTACTTGGTTTGAAAAAAGGGTCTTCAACACAGGAGACAGAAAAAGTTTCAGATGGGGACAACTGGAGTTTAATTTTGCAGCTTTCATTTCTAGGATGGGGCTGCTGACACCCTTGGAAATCTTCAAAGCAGTGGGAAGTCCATGTCTGGACACAGGAGAGAGGGAGACAGACACAAGGGAGGCCTGGGAAGCCTCGCTGTGCACAGTTGGTGACTGGGGTTCCTTGAGCTGTGATCTGCCTGCAAGGGGCTGGGAATGAAGAACGTGCTTTTCTTCCTGGGCCATGTCAGAGCATTCTGGGTGGCTGGCGGTCAGGATCGTTTCAGTCTGGGAAGTTTTCCCTGACAGCCTGACTGCGCAGCGCTGACTTCTCTTCAACTTGTGCTGAAAACACAAATCCTGAGTTATTGAGGCAGCCCGCAGAGGGATGTAAATGTCTAAATGCTCCTGCATCTGAAACGTGAGCTGGGGTTGCCCAGGCGGGGGTGGTGGAGGTGGGGGAGGAGACAGAGCCCTGTTGTTGGGAGGCAACACTTACCCGGGTAATGGGGCATATCGACGTGGGCAGCAAAATATGGTCTCTGAGCTCTCCACCATCACACAGTGTTGACAATTCACACTTGCGGTGAAACTGGAGGGGAAAAATGAAGATGAGAGTGAGTGAAAGTGTTCAAGGAAATGTCAAGTATGAGAGTCTAGAAACTTCCTAGGGAGGCAAGTTGTCTAGGATGCCTTCAAATCCTGATGCACTGCCGGCTTTGGCAGTATAGCTTAGACAGTGTGTGTGTTTGCATGTGTGGTGTGTGGTTAGGGGTGCCAAGTCTGCTGTGGGCAGAGAAAGGAGACCAAGTGCTGCCCATGGCAACTGGGGTGAAATGGTCCCAGGCAGACTTGTGGGCCGTCAGTGTGGCAGCCGCAGGTGGATTCCAGAGCCCCTCTTGATTATTTGCTCCCTAGGCACTGAGACACTGGTAGGAAGGAGATCTTGTTGAAGAAACTCATGAGACGCTGGAAGTAAACCCCATGGCTCAACCTCTGCATTTTCAGAGTTCTGCGATCTGATTTGGAGACATGTCCTTTTTGAGGCTGACACCTGGGGGTCAAGGGGACAAGATGCAGCACTGAGTCTGATATGGAAGGCAGGTCAGGCAGCTCTGGGTGTCCAGGATGGAAGTGGACATTTGCTGCGGCTGGTGGGCACAGCCCTCTGGCCCAGGCAGTGGGGCTGCTGTCAGCACCCTGTCTTCCTCTGACACAGGGATTCTGGTGTCTAATTCTTCTCTCTCTCTTGTTGATGCCCTCGGCCCAGCCAATACCCAGGAGAAGGAAGCTAATGGTCTAGCCTGCTATTCTCAGCTGCCTGGCCACAAAGACAGCAGACTGGCCAGCATCATCTTAAGCAGACCTGGGTTGGGGGTGGGGGACACCCTCTTTCTGGGCAGTTTGATGATTTAATGGAGGCAATTAGACGTCAGGCACTGGCAGCAGCTCTGGGCGCTTTCTCTAGCCTTGCCCACGGAGCTCTGCTCATGCCCCCTGGCAGGATGTCCACTGATGCCTGCCTGCAGCTTGAGCAAAAAAAAAAAAAAAAAAAAACCACACTGAAAAGAAGCAGGGCTGCCCTGGGCGCCAACCCACCGTCATCCGGCACCACACGCAGTGCCGCGCGGTGACACTCTGGTAGCACTTGATACTTTTGTGGCACCGGTCACACTTGACGGAGGAGTTCCCTTCCACCCATGCGTGCTGCATCACCTGCAGGAGGGAAGGGAAGGATACCAGGGAAGGCTGCAGAACCACGGCCCAGGGCCCTGGGCCTGAGGAGAAGGCCTGGGAAGAACACAGGGACGGGGAGGCCAGAGAGGGCTGGTTCCTGTTTAGTGGGCACTGGGCAGCTTAGCTGAATTGCACAGGGTGGTCTCTCCCTACCTAATCACTATCACTCTAATCAAGCTAGATGAAAGCCACTTTGCCTGCTTTTTCAATAGTCCATCTCCCAGCAGTTAAGCCTCTGAGCAGAGTCTCATCTGGCAGTCCCTCTGTCTGTCTTGCGGACCTCTTTGCAAAGCGATGTGCTTGTGTGTGCCCTCTTTTGGAAGGCTGCTCAGTGCAGGGAAACACAGGAGGGCTTGGTCTGCAGACCAAGCTGGTAAGAGTCACTGATCTTCCACTTTACAGCAGGGTGACCTTTGGCCAGTTCCTGGATCTCTCTGAGTCTCAGGGCCTTCATCTGTAGAAATTGGCATAATAAGCCCTACCCCTGGGCTTGCTGGGAGAATTAAAGGAGCCAGCCTATTTGGAAGGGCCTTCCTGGTACAGCCCTGAGCCTTGGGAGGTACTGTGATCAAGAACTCCCTTTGCCCTTCTTTCTTCTATGGGCCAGTGTGTCTGAACCTTAGCAGCCCCTCAAGACCACCTGGGGAGTTTCTAGAAGTCCTAATGCCCAGCCCTCACTCTGAGTCAAATAAATTAACCACCTGTAAAAGAATGAAACTAGAACACTTTCTAACACCATACACAAAAATAAACTCAAAATGGATTAAAGATCTAAATGTAAGACCAGAAACTATAAAACTCCTAGAGGAGAACATAGGCAAAACACTCTCCAACATAAATCACAGCAGGATCCTCTATGACCCACATCCCAGAATTTTAGAAATAAAAGCAAAAATAAACAAATGGGACCTAATGAAACTTAAAAGCTTTTGCACAACAAAGGAAACTATAAGCAAGGTGAAAAGACAGCCCTCAGATTGGGAGAAAATAATAGCAAACGAAGCAACAGACAAAGGATTAATCTCAAAAATATACAAGCAACTCCTCCAGCTCAACTCCAGAAAAATAAATGACCCAATCAAAAAATGGGCCAAAGAACTAAACAGACATTTCTCCAAGGAAGACATACAGATGGCTAACAAACACATGAAAAGATGCTCAACATCACTCATTATCAGAGAAATGCAAATCAAAACCACAATGAGGTACCATTACACACCAGTCAGGATGGCTGCTATCCAAAAGTCTACAAGCAATAAATGCTGGAGAGGGTGTGGAGAAAAGGGAACCCTCTTACACTTTTGGTGGGAATGCAAATTAGTACAGCCACTATGGAAAACAGTGTGGAGATTTCTTAAAAAGCTGGAAATAGAACTGCCATATGACCCAGCAATCCCACTTCTGGGCATACACACCAAGGAAACCAGATCTGAAAGAGACACATGCACCCCAATGTTCATCGCAGCACTGTTTATAATAGCCAGGACATGGAAGCAACCTAGATGCCCATCAGCAGACGAATGGATGAGGAAGCTGTGGTACATATACACCATGGAATATTACTCAGCCATTAAAAAGAATTCATTTGACTCAGTCCTAATGAGATGGATGAAACTGGAGCCCATTATACAGAGCGAAGTAAGCCAGAAAGATAAAGACCATTACAGTATACTAACACATATATATGGAATTTAGAAAGATGGTAACGATAACCCTATATGCAAAACAGAAAAAGAGACTCAGATGTATAGACCAGACTTGTGGACTCTGGGAGAAGGCGAGGGTGGGATGTTTCAAGAGAACAGCATCGAAACATGTATATTATCTAGGGTGAAATAGATCACCAGCCCAGGTTGGGTGCATGAGACAAGTGCTCGGGCCTGGTGCACTGGGAAGACCCAGAGGGATCGGGCGGAGAGGGAGGTGGGAGGGGGGACCGGGATGGGGAATACATGTAAATCCATGGCTAATTCATTTCAATGTATGACAAAAACCACTGCAATGATGTAAAGTAATTAGCCTCCAACTACTAAAACAAATTCACAGACAAATAAATAAATAAATAAATAAATAAATTAGAGTCCTGAGGGTGAGGCCTATCGTTAGTTTGTTTTAAAGCCCCCTGAGCGATTATAATGTGCAGCCCAGACTGAGAAGCACTCTGGAAGGAAGTTAGAGAGAAAGCCCAGAGGAATTAGTGTGGGTCGTCAGCCCGTGGCTTTCCCATCTTTTTCCTGCAGAGCTGGTTGTACCTGCTTCCTGGCCAGGACCTGCTTCTAGAGCAGCCCAGAAACCTGGGAAACAGCTGGGCATGCATGTGTATACATGTGACTGTAAGTGCAAAGTGACCCATGATGCCAAATTCTGGGGGTCTGAGCACTCAGTTAAGTACCCCAGGAATTCTATAGAACTTTCAAAAATTGTTTTCCACTAGGGCACCCTGAATAGCAGAAGGGGTGGATATGGACTCTGGGGAAATGTGGGGGCATAGCCTGAAGTGCCAACAACAAGCACAATATTAAAAACACATGGAATATTTGCATGACACCATCCATGTTTGTATTAGATAAAAGTTTCAAATTACTTATCAATTAAGTTACTGTGTCCTCCTTCCAAAAGGTTTTTGGTAAAACTGTTGCTCTAGATGTGTCACATTTACTTTGCAGTTTCTCACCATCTGCTACTCACCCCTGAGGGTGTAAAGAACTCGGTTTGCCAACCAGTTTGTCACCTACATGGTCACAATTAATTTGTCCAAGATTATTATTATTTCCATTATATATAGAAAAAAACTATGAGGATTCAGAGAGGTTAAGTGACTGGTCCTAGGTTCCGGCTGCGAAGTGGCCAAGCAGGGACTCATGGCCAGATCTCCTGACTCCTAGTCCATGGGACTTTCCCAACACCACATTGCCTTCTCCCTCCTCTTCTGGGATTAGAAGAGATGCTGAAGGCCTTGGGTTGGCCCTGGAGTCTCAGAAAGCCATGAATGTGCCCCGCTGGTCCCTCAGTGGTCTCCCTCTATTCCAAGGGTGGCAATGGCCGGAGTGCAGGCTCAGGGCCTGAGCCAAGGAGGTGCACCATATGTCCTGGTGAAAGCATGGACATGGCAAGGTGTGTGCATGGGCATGGTGCGGGAGGAGTAGACAAGAGGCCATGTGGTGTCTCGCGGGCATGCATGCGTGTCCCTGGAGGTACCCTCTCTCTCAGACTCCTGGGGATGGCTGGATACTACTCCCGCCTGCTCATCATCCCCTGACTCAGATTCCTTAATGGGATCTTCCCTCTGCAACAACTCGGAGTGTCCTTCCCCTGCTAATTTGAAGAAGAGTCTATTTCCAGACTCAGTGACTGGCACCACTAGATGGCCACCTTAGAAACGGGGTAGTCATTTCCAACCTCCCTCCCTCTCTCATCCCCTACACCATTACCACCAAGTCCTGGTGGTAGGATCTTCAAGTTATCTCTGAAACTCTCCCCTCTCCCTTTATGTCCTTTTTCTCAGCCAGTGAGACAGTCAGAAGACTCAACAGCTGGCGTGACTGGGGGGCACTCAGCAGAGACATAGCAGAGAAGGCGAGTACAGACCCCAACCCAGTCAGGCCCTCGGCAGCACTACCTCTTGCCTGAACTGTTGGAAAGGTTTCCCCCTCTTTAATCTGATCTCTTTCCTGCACCACAGTCAGAGCGTGTGCATGCTCAGTTGTTTTAGTCATGTCCAGCTAGGTGACCCCTTGGACTGTAGCCCGCCAGGCTCCTCTGTCCATGGGGTTCTTCAGGTAAGAATACTGGAGTGGGTTGCTATGACCTCCTCCAGGGGATCTTCCTGACCCAGGGATCAAACCTGCATCTCTTACATCTACCTGCATTGGCAGGTGGGTTCTTTATCACTAGTACCGACAGAGAACCTAATTTGCAAACCCAATCATCTCTTCACATGCTCAAAGTTCTTTAGCAGTCCCTTAGCTTCATATGAACCTCCTTCCCACCTCCTCAGCCTGGATCTCCCCAATCCTGGAGCACATCTTCTGCCTTTCCCTCTGAGCCTCCTCTATGCCAGCCACACTAAACCAAATACAGGCCCCAGAATAAGCCACATATCCATGCCTTCACTCTTGAGGCTTCTCCAGTCCAGACTGCCTTGTCCTCCTCGATTCCTTGTGAAATCCTGCTGACTGGGGTTCAAGACACAACTCAAATGCCATTTTTGTGTGTGTGTGAAAGCTTCCTTGTTCGTCTCTCCTGCCTGCCCTCTGGCCCCATGCCTCAACTGTAAGTCCCACCCAGTGCTATCTATCTACCGCACTGCTCACTGCATTGTGCTCTGCTTATGTGCCTGTCTCCTCCCACTAGACTGCACGGTCCCCCAGGCTGAGGACCACCTTATGACCCTCACACCCCCGGGAACAGGGCCTGGCACATGGTGGGTGGGTACTAGGGAGATGCTAAATGGATTGATGAATGGACAAGATGGTTTCAGGGTGGTCCTCGAGGCAGAGAAGGGACAGGATGAAGCTCCCAACGCCCCTTCCTGTCCAGGAATCTGTGGAGATGGACATGTTGCCCAGGACACAGCATGCAGTAGAACAAGGCAACAGGTATCACCAACCTCGCCGCCCCTTTTGGTTTTGGAGTTCGTTTTGATACACGCGGGAATGTTTTTGGATACACAGCGTTCGTGGACAGTGTATTTACAGTCTGCAAAATAAATGAATAAATAAATAAGAATAGTGCCTGTGAGTTACCACCCAGGGAGGGTCAGCCGTCCTCCTCCCCTCAAGCGGAGGCCCAGGCCTCCCTCCATCGGGCAGGGGACATGTGGAGCTGGCCTTGCCTACTGGAAATTCAAGTCTCCAGTTTTTAACTGACAGGAATCCACAGTTATCTCCCAGGCATGCTTCTGCACCCTCCACCCCGCCCACTGCCTTTCACCGGTGAATGCAGCAGGAAAACACCCTTAGAGAATGTGAGGCATCACCCTGGCTATGCCAACAACACAGTATTGAATGTCGGGATGGTGGGGAGTAGAAACTAACTCTGCAGAGAGGCAGACCTGGGCCTGAACTCCGGCTCTGCCCTTTGTAACTACCCAGATGATCTAGGTTATGTGCCTTCACAGCTCTGAAATTCAGAGTGTTCTACAAGATGGGAATAAAAGTAGCTTTTACTTTGGGGAGCTTTTGCAGCATTAAATGATTTGTATAAGGCACCACTTGGGCAAGTCAGAATAGCTATTCCACAAATGACTTTTATTGTTGTTACTACTTACTACTATGCCACAGGCCTAGAACCTACTAGGAATGAGGCTGGGTCTATGATAAGTGGGTGAGAGCTGGATATGAGAGGGTGCTGGAAAGACAGGCGGCCCCTTCTTATGCCTGCTGATGCTTGTTCGAGGTAGACACTGGGCCCAGCTCTGCTATGATGTCTTTTGTGGTGGAGGTTGCCTGCTGCCTGGCTCCCGTGTGCATGGCAGATGAAACAGTTTGGTGACCTGCACCATACCCGAGGGCCCTCCCCACAGCAGCAGGTCCCCAGTCCCTGGAGGGTTCAGGCTGAGTGCCTGCTCTCTGCATCCTGAGGTGGGGGCGGGGGTGGGCAGGCAGGATTCTGCACCCATACACCCTAGGCCTTGCAAAGCCTTTCTGTTGCAGCCCTTCCCCTCTCTTCCTGCCCCCCAAATTCACTCACATCCCCCCATCATCCCTTCTGTCTTCCTTCCCCTCCATCTCTTTCTTCTGCTCTCCTTTCCAGGCTCCACCCCTCCTTTCTCGTGTGTGTTTTTTTTCCTCCCCTCAAGTCTGACTTCACTAAGTGGATTTTTAACATTTAACAATTCATTTTCAACAAATCAATTTTTAATTTCCATTGTATTTATGAATATTAATTTAATTAAAAAAAAAAACCCTCAGGTTCTTCTGACCATGCAAACATTCACTAGCAAAATGCAAGTGAAATTAATGAGATGCTTTTTAGTTATCTGTGAACTTTAATAACTTTTTTCTAGGGAGTCAGTGGCCCATGACACGACTCCAGCAGAATAATATTCATCCATTTGATTTGGGTAGAACAAGAATAGGACATGGAGGTCTTGCTCTACTCCCTGCTGTGGGGAGAATATGGCAGGTCCCTCAAGCTAGGAAGGAGAGATGCCTAAACTTTCCTGGGACTGGCTCAACCATGTGCAGAGCAAGCTAGTTCCTGGCAAAAAAGGGGCTGAAGGAAGTTTACTCACAAATGCAGCAGAGACCTTGCTTCCGAACACCCATGAGCATGATGTGGCAGAAGTTGCAGTAGGTTGGTTTCTTGAAGTGCTTCAGGGTCCAGGCGTGCTTCCCATCCCCCTTGGAGCCCTGAGGGGACAGCAATGGAATGCGGTACTCAGCAAGAAGCCTCTTCTCATATTTGGAAGATGAGTTATTCATTTAATTTACTGATGTAAATACTCTGAATAGAAATACAAATAAAAACAAAATCCTTCATGTGTGTGTGTGTCTATGTTCTAAAATAAGGAAAAATTAAAAATTAGGACTGAATGCAGTATGTGTGTGGGAGATAAAATTAGCCCTCTCCTGCATGGCTGGTGGAGTAGAAATCAGAACAAACTAACTTAGTTATCTTTCTTTTAACTTCGTCCTTTCTTTTTTCAATCATCTATCTATTATCTGTCAAGCATCTGTTTATTATGTCAATCACCATTTATCAATTGTCTATTACCCATCAATCACCTATCATCTATCAACCATCTTATCTATCTATCTATCCATTCATCCATCCATTTCTCTTATCTAAAGGTCCTTTAAATGTTTATAACTTTCAACTTACAAATTTCTTTTCCTGGATTCTATCCTAAATAAACTTTTGAAAGATATATGAGCATTTTTGTGCTCTATCAGATGTTGAGCCCAGCATTATTTAAAATAATGAAAAACTGAAAATATCCTAAAGCTCTCAAAAATGACCAAAAGGTTTGAGGTACATCTCTATGTGGCCATCAAAAAGATATTCATAAGAACCTTGAATGGCTTGGGAATGTGCTCATGATACTAAGTGCTAAGACAAAAAAGCAGAATGCAAATTTGATGACATATTATGATCTCGGTTTTATATAACGATACACCGGATGGAAAAAAAAAAGTGACCAAATTGTTATCAGAGGTTAGCTATAGCTAACAACACTACGGATTTACTTTATTCTCTAATTTCTACTTTCTCTGTATTTGCCAAATTTTTTACAGTGAGGAGGTACTAGTTTTATAATCAGGAAAAAACTTAGCTTAGTAAAAATACTGTACTCCTCTCATCAAACTTTCTGTACATAGAAAAAAAATAGCAAAGAGACAGAGAAGGTTAAATCCTTTCCCCCTGGCTTGGCTCAGAAGCAAATTCATCCTTATCCACCAGATAAGCCAAGCCTGACATAATCACACACCTTCTCAGACACCAAAGTTCCCACCTTCTAGCCCCTGGGAGCACAGCCTCACTGGAGACTGTGGTTTCAGGAGCATCCCTCCACATACAGTGTCCTTGAACTTTTGTCATAGACTCCATCAAAAGAGTAACATTCTTGGGCTGATCTTAAGGGTAGTAAAAAAAAAAAAAAGTAAAAAAAAAAGTAATGTAAGCTCGTAATGATCAAGAGTCAGGTACACGGAGTCCAACTTGCTGGACTGAAACCTACTTATTTCTGGCCCCTCTGGTTTGGGCTGGCCATGGTGGCCAGACCCATTCCTGTGCTCAACTCCTCTGCTAATGGTCTCTAGAGAAGCCCATGTGCTTAAAATGCTGGTCTCCTCCTGGGGGCAGAATATGCTTTTTTCTTACCACCTGCTTCTTCCAAAACCTGAGTTTTATAGGATTAAAGCCTTATCATTTAATGGTTTCTACTTTAGTAAATGGGTTCATTAATTGATGAAATGATTCACTAAAAGACAGATTCATTCATTCTTTTGACAAACATTGACCAAAAGGGATTTTTTATAAAAATTAAATGAAATATAAGTGAAAAATGAAAACTTTTATTAAGTTCTTACTCTGCACTAGGCAGTAGGGAACACGAAAATAAGTAAAGAGTGTTTTCTCACATGTGAGGAGGTAGATTTATACCTATTCTAGAAATGAAGAAGCAGAGACTCATAGAAGTCAGATAAACAGCCCAAGACCACACAAATATTAAGTGACTGAGCCAAGCCAGTGGTCATACTGGCTTCCAAATCCATGTTTCTTCTTATATCTCCACCAACCAGGGTTTTCCTTCACGGACAAAAGGGAAATTACAGTATTCTTAGCAGACACAGCCCAAAGGATGGTCATCTGACCTAAAAATACCTTTATGAGCAAAATTAATTAGCTGACTCTCCCTTTCTCAGATACTGTTTTCACAGATAGAGGGTAAGAATCAAAAGGACCTTGACTTGGAATAAGTAACATTTCTGCTTGAGTAATAGCACCATCATGTGGTTCTTTTATTTTTGCACATTGGAGGCTGCAGTGTTTGGGAGTCCTATACAACCAGGTTTTATGCTGAACCTACAGCTCCTTGGCGACAGATTGTTTCTCATTTATCCCATTCAGAGAGCTCCAGACTTTTCAGTGGCCATAAGTGGGTTTTGATAAAAGCCAAACAAGCACTGTGACTTACAAGACATCGAGGAATGTTTTCCCTAGAACTCTAATTATTAAGTGTAAAAACATACAATATAGTGCATATTTTCAAATGAACACATAAAACATTTGATTCATGAAAACCAAATGCACTTTTGCTTTTGTTTGCATTATTCCTGATGTAAAGTATGGTTTTAAACAAGGTTCATTTGGCATCGGGGGGAGACACTGGGGAGAATGTTGGAGAAATAATGTCTCTTCCTCTTCCAGCCATAAAAAGTAGAACCCAAGATCACCAGCCCAGGTTGGGTGCATGAGACAAGTGCTCGGGCCTGGTGCACTGGGAAGACCCAGAGGGATCGGGTGGAGAGGGAGGTGGGAGCGGGGACCGGGATGGGGAATACATGTAAATCCATGGCTAATTCATTTCAATGTATGACAAAAACCACTGCAATGATGTAAAGTAATTAGCCTCCAACTAATAAAAATAAATGGAAAAAAAAAAAAAGTAGAACCCAAACAAAGAGTTGGTGGCACCTTGGGCTCAGCAAGTCCCACCTAAGAAATGGAACTAGAAATTGGTTCTTTGTCATTAAAAAGTCCCATCTCTATTCTTATGTTTTAGAGAAAAGGAAAAAAAAAAAAACCTGGTGTGTTAGAACAACACTCAAGCAGAACTACTTTGATTCAGGTATCATCTTGAACTTTAACAGCAGAAAGTATACCATACCTATCTGGGCTCCCCCAAGTCCTAGCTCATGTGGGTTTGCGCACACAGTAGGTTCTCATCACTGTATGAGAAGTGTGCTGTTACTGAATATGGAAGATGGTCTCTGGTACCAATTAGGTGTGTGACCAACCGCAAGTGCCTTTACTTCTCTAGTCCTCAGTATGAAAAAAAAAAAAAGGGATAGACCAGGGATCACCAAATTCTCTTCCAGCTTTAACCTTCTAGGGTTCTAAGGATAAAGGAGTTCCTGGTTCATTGATTTCTATTAGTACATGGAAAGACCTAAACATGCTATGAGATAATTGCAGGATTTTTAGTCCTAAACAGCAGAACTGTCAGATGGACATTTCACGGGCAACAATGTCAGCTAGAGGCCAACCTAGCTGAACCTTCTCCTCTGTCCCTCTCTATGCCATTTCAGTAATCTCAAACAGGTGTTGTTTACAACCCATGTGGCCATACTGGTAAATGCTAATGCTTCCATTTGCATTCCTAGTTCTACCCTTCCCTACCTCATGCAAGGAAGCTACTTTTCATGATAAATAAGCAGACCAGGTGAGATGCCAGTGCTTCACATAAATATTGGGAGGTTTCTCTAACACACCCTGAACTTACTTTCACATGGGTTTTTGACCAAGCTCTTCTCCTGCCTGCAAACTCTCTTCTACCAGCCAAACCATACCCATTATTGAGAACCAGATCAAATACTCTAGGTCATTTCACTTGATCTTTATCTCAAGAATGGGGTATCAAAATCCCATGCATCCTTTAGAGTCAGGGCAAAGTTTCTTCCACTGTTGTCACTCTTAAGTGTGGGTGTTCAAAAGTGCAGGTTCTTTAGAGTCAGGTACACATAAATGCTGGCTCCTCTTTTTCATCTTCAGACTCAGAATCTCAATTTTCCATCTGTATAAATGGGTAAAAAAATATCTACCTTATCTGGTTATTCTGATTGCTAAATAAGGTATTATCATTGAACACTCTCTGCCTTACATCAGATCAGTATTTTTCCTTTCCTTTCCTTCCCTCCCTCCCTGTTTCTCTTTCTTCCCAAACTTTCTTAGCATTTTTACAGCTAATTTTGAGAAAACATGGAATTCTTTCCTGAAAATTTTTTGTCCTTTGTGTGGTTGGACAGAAGTTTCAGGTGGGTGAATATGATATGTGTCTCCTCTCAGTCCTCAGAACAGTATATTTATTTAGTAATAATTTAGTAAATGTGTGTCAAATGAATGAACATGTTTCAGGCACTAACAGGTAAAATAGAGATGACTGTGGGGCTGGCCTGGAGCATATGAGGTATCCACTGGGAAGTCCAGGACAAAAACCAAGGATATTAACCTCCGCATGGAACCTGCTGTTTCTGAAAGGCGAGGGGTCTTGGACCCCAAGTGTGCAACTTACAGAGTCATCCACGCCCAGAAGGACCAGCAATGGGATGGTGGTCATCCCTCCGCGGACCCACTCCTCAAGAGACACAGAGCCGTCCCGGTCGTAGTCCATCCCTTGCAGCATCTCCTTCAGTATCTGCGAATCCATAGAGATGCAATTGTCCTCTTTCACTCTCGACTTCTCTGCCCACCCCCTGCCCTTTGCCTTCTCTTTTGTTCCGAGTTTTCTTGTGTTTTACCCCTTTCTCTCCAAGTCAGAGTGAGTAGAGAGCAGTGAGGGAGCAAACTGGGGTGAGGAGAACAGAGCTCCAAGCCTGGCTCTTCCCAGACCTGTGTGCCCTTAAGTAAGCCACCTGGACTCTCTGGGCTCTGTTTATCTGCTTTGCCCGTCTGCAAAACAGAACTAGCATTGCTGTGCTCGCAGCCTGGTAGCGAAGATTAGAGAAGATGTATACAAAATGCCAAACATAATATTGGTCTCATGGGAGCCCCCAATGTAATAATTATTATTATCTGATGACTGAGAAAAATCTTTGAATTTCGTTCTAGCTCTAAATTTCTCTGACCTATGAACTCCTGTTATAAAAATTCAAGAGGGAGGTGGGAGGGGGTACCGGGATGGGGAATACATGTAAAAAAAAAAAAAAAAAAGATACACTATGGTTGTGATAAAAAAATAATAATAATAAATAAATAAATAAATAAATAAATAAATAAATAAAATAAATAAATAAAAATTCAGCAAGGGGGTATTATCAGGTATTATTATTTGAATTAGTCTACACTATTGCCTGTTGCCTCTAACTTTTCCTATCAGAGAAGTGGGAGGTCAAGGAGGTGTAGGACCCCAAAGGAGCCACCTCTAAGAAGATGAATCTGAGAGACACTCTACTGTAAACAAATGTGTTTTTTCAAGTCCCACTCTTATCTTAGAAGCTCACTGGGAAGTCACCCCAGGTTGTTGGAAACTCACAGGCCTTAGCTCCGTGGGATCCCACTCGAGATACTGGGCAATGTGCAGCATCTGGCTGACAATACGATCCATCTCCTAGAAAAGACCAAGGAGAGAAATCAACTGAAGATGTGTTTCCAAGAGCAAGAGTTAAAATCAAACCCTGTGGGAAGATGGGCAGGGTGTCGTGTGAGAAGCAGCTGGTACAACACACTGGCATTTCATCATGAGCTCACTGTTTGTTTCTGCTCTTTATTTCTGCCTTGACCACAAAGCTCACAAGAAGCACAGACCGTGGATAAGCCAGAGGTATGCAGAAAGCTCACTGAACACTGACCTCCTAAACCCACCTTTCTTCCCCTATTCTGTGCTTTATTCTTCCCCTGTTTCCTCCTTCTTTGTAATCACGGCTCCTAAAAATACTTACAAACCAAGGCATTTCTTCCCTCCCCCTTTTCCCACACCTCATTCCCACAGCGTTAGCAACTTGGGATTCATCTATACCCCTTGGGGGTCAGTTTCAGCTGGATGTAGGGCCACTGGGTTGGTCCTTTCTCAGGCACTATGATTCAGATTCTTTTTGGCATCTCCTTTGTATCCTTTGTATTAAGTCCAGCCCTGGGTCTGGGACTCCTGAAACAGGAAATTCATGAAGGCTATGCTTCTCTAATGAGTGAGCCTTTTGTTTGGTACCAAGGCCAGGCTCTATCTAAAACCTCACAGAATTGCTGGATGCTAATGAATCAGTGCCCCCGAGAGTCCCACGGAAACACACTGGACTGAGGAAGCATTTGCACATTTAGGGTACAATCTAGGATATTCATAATAAAGTTGATTTGGGGACACGGGTTGGAGAACTAAAGCAAAGGTTAAAGGTGTTACTTTCACCAGACAGAATGCTGGATCAACATAAGCAAGTTAAAACCCAACAGGGATTTTTAACACTGTATCTCATTTAAATTAGAAAATAGCCCACTGCAAAACTGCAGATGAGGCAGTAGGTGGGGGTAAGGAAGTGGGCAGTAAGGTGGGAACAGAGTTCAGCAGATGTTCCAGTGGAAAAGAGTTTGTGAATCTAGCAGGGTTCAAGATTCAATGTGAGCAAACAATGTGATTCTGAATTGGAGAATTAGACTTGATCTAGAGCTGTGTAAATGGGTTGGCATTTTCAGGAAGCAGAGTGGGCAGATTTCAGGAAGAATGAGTTCTCCTCATATGGATACTTAAAGAGTCCTGGAGGGGCAGGTTCAATTCTACGCCATATTTTAAGAATGGCATTGCCAAACTAGAGCTTGACGAGAGTGGATACTTAAATCTGTTTTACCAGAAATACTGTAGAAATTAGGAAATTGGAGCTTGGAGAAGATTTTAGGGACGATGTGGTCAGATATTCAAATACTTGAAGGCCAAAGACCTGATGCTGGGAAAGACTGAGGGCAGGAGGAGAAGGGGACGACAGAGGACAAGATGGTTGGATGGCATCACCGACTCAATGGACATGGGTTTGGGTGGACTCCAGGAGTTGGTGATGGACAGGGAGGCCTGGTGTGCTGAGGTTCATGGGGTTGCAAAGAGTCAGACACGACTGAACTGAACTGAACTGTGTACAACTGGTACTCTGCTGGTCAGCTATGGAGGGCAGAAACAAGCTGAGGGACAGAGGGAGGGAGGAGTTGAAGGTTGGCCTATTTTGACCTCACCATTGGGTTGGGAGAGGGGAGAGAAGGGCAGAATCAAGTTTAGTACTGAAAATTTCCCTTGTGGACTAGAGGCTTTGATGCCGGAAAGATGCCCTCTCTAACATCATCCTCAGCAGTGGATTGGCTGTTTTAAGGTAATAGGTGAATTCTCCATTACTGGGAGTGTTCAAAAGAGGCTGGATATCCAACTGCCAAGGGGTCTTGGTGGGAAGTTGAGAGACAGAGAACTATTCTGAGACTTGCTTCAGTCCACCAATGGTACCTTCCAAACAGATCCAGATTTAACCACTTCTCACCACCTGCAATGCTGCTACCCTAAGGCAAGTTACCATCATTTGTCTTGCTTATTTTTACAGCCTCCCAACTGGTATCCCTGCCTATGTTCCTACAGTCTAGACTCAATACAGCAGCTAGAGAGACTCTGTGAGAACCTAAGTCAATCATGTCACTCGCCTGCTCAGAAACTGCAATGGTTCTCCGCTTCTCCAGAGAAAACCCTTGTAATCACCTTTAAGGCTTGAGAATGCCTTGCAGATATCTTGTTCCTTCTCATTACTTCTCTGACCTCATCTGTTCACCCCTCCTGCTCCACTCATTCTTGCCTCCTCCTTACCCTGCTGACATTCCAGGCACCCCTCAAGGACCTGTGCCCTTGTTGCTCCCTCTGCCCGGAAGGCGCTTCCCCATGACTCCCTCCCTTCAAATCCTTCAAGTATCTGCTCAGACGTCCTTCCCTCAGGGAGTCCTTCCTTAGCTCCTGTGCTACAACTGAAGCTCATCCAACACTTCCTTTCCCTTCTTTGTCTTCCTCTAGCATACAGGTATTGGAGAAGTTGCCATTGGAAATGGCAACCCACTCCAGTGTTCTTGCCTGGAGAATCCCAGGGATGGAGGAGCCTGGTGGGCTGCCGTCTATGGGGTCGCACAGAGTCGGACACGACTGATGCGACTTAGCAGCAGCAGCACACATGTATATTTAACACATACTTGACTACATTTTGCAGTGTGTGTGTTTTCGTTAGAAGGAAAGCATTATGAGGACTTGCATCTCTTTACATTGGCTCACTGATACAGCCCCAGGGCTTAGACCAGTGCCTGACATATACGATGGGTGTTAAACAAATGTTTTAAGTGTCCACGATTCTCCAGTGTTTCCCTTGCATGATCCAACCCACAGCACTGAAAAGTGGCTATAGGGATCCCATTAAGACCATCTGGGGTTGAGGGGGAACCTGGATGAGGCAGTTGGTCTAGTGGACTGCTTCCCTTTCTTCCTCCCTCTGGGCTGTCTCAGCTCCATGCACTTCAACCTCAGAGCCTTTCTGGGAATGCATCCCATCTCTGACCCTGCCAGTCATGAGAACAGGACTTGTCTGATTCTATCTGCCTTCTCCACTCTCTGCCTTCTTCCTTTTCTGCCCTTCTTCTCACCCTATGATCCCCACCCTATTCCTGCCTCTTCCTGAGAGAAGGTGGGGGCAAGACTCAGGCTTTCCCAGGTTTGGTGGGATGGGATGATGTGCTTGGAGAAGACAGAGCGAGACTCCTAGTGCTAGTGCCTAGGATATGAGAAGAAGGCAAGGGTGATGGCCATGCTCACCAGAAGTTACCTGCCTTCTTCCTGTCTTCCTGCCCTGGTCTCACTGCCTCTCCCCACCTCCTTTCCTCCACTCTGGAACTTCAGCAGGAAACTGAAGGGGGAATTTCTGAACCATCTGGGAAGTTAGCTAAGATTTTACATCTCCCCAATCTGAGACTTTGCAATTTAGGCTTCTGGAATGAAAAAGAAAGCTGGCATTCACTCTCTCTGGCCCAGCTCTTTGGATGTAGAAGGAGGGGGCTTCTATTCATCTCTGCAGCTCATATTGAGACACAGCTATTCTGATGATGGTGGAACTGGGAGTTTTTGAACTCTCCCTTCACCTGCTCCCCTCTCCCCTAGCCTTTCTTGGATCTTGGAAGAATATTTGGAGCGCTTACCGCTTGGTCCAGGAGACCGTTCTCATCCGAATCATAGAGACGAAACATGACTGCAAGAAACATAAAGGCGAGGCTTGAGGAGGTCTTCCAGGCACCAGGGATGGGCTGAGACTTTGATGCCAGTTTTTAGGTCAGTTCTGACCATCACTGGGGCGCAGTCTGTTACAGCCAGCTAACCCACCCTCCAAGCCACAGAGTCTGCTTCCTTACAGAGAGGGTGGGAAGAGGGAGGAAACCAAGCCACCTGGCTTCTAGGACAGTCTGAGCAATAACTCTGTGGCTGATGAGATCTGGATCCTGAGTGTGATTCCCTATGGAGCATTCACACCTCTCTACATCATGGGAACACAATGCAAAGCAGATGCCCTGCTGGTGGTGGGCAGACGCTGGAGTGATAGATGGGGCACTGCTTCCACTGCCCATAGGAAGGGTGTGAAGTTAGACAGTGTCAGACCATGGCCCTGTCCTACCACCTCTAGCACATCAAATAAGTCATTTATCTTCTTTAGATTCAATTTCTTCATCTGTAAGATGGAGATTAAAATAATTTCTTTATCCTAAGTCTTTTTCAAATGAAGACTAATACATAAATGATACACCAGAATCTATAGTGCCTGGAATATATAAAACACTCAACAGATGTTATTTTTATTTTCTATCATTAATGAATATTTATATATGACATTTAATATGTATATCATCTTATGTACCTATCATTATTACTATTTAATCCTCAATAATATTATGAAGTAGTTACTATTATAGAAGCTACTGTATTTCTTTTTCTAAAATGTCAACATGCGATTCAGAAACATCCTCTGCCATGTTCTAACTGTACAGAAGTGATGGAGGATAAGAAAGATTTGGGAATGAATTTTGAGGAAAGGACTAAATGTTCATTTATGAGATTTGGAAACTTGCTGTTTAATTAATCTAAAAGGTAGAGATTCTGTCTGTGGTCTCAGAAGTAAGAAGGGTGGGGAGCAGAGCTGAAAATGTCTTCATTTCCTTCCTATCCTTTGAAATGTTCCCTCGTGCCAGCGTTCTCCGTGGAGCCTCTCCTGACCGACCCTTCACTCATGTAACTACTCTGGACCTCTCGGGATGTACCCACAGGGTCACAGCACTCCTGTTAATTTGTTAATCTGCCCTTGTGTTGTCACTTCCTTCCACATGGTTTATGTCTCTGGACCTTGTGTATACAGTGATGTGTCTCTGGTTGGAGTTTAAGTTATTTAAAAGTAGGGTCATGGGCTTCCAGTCCTTTGTGGCTCCTCTGAAAGTCCCAGTCAGGAACACTCTGGGCCCAGGTGGCTCTAATGTGGAGCCCACTTTGGTCCTACTGTGAGGAGTAGAACAAGGAAGTATGAGCAAGCATCCTTTTTTTTAAGAAGCATGGCCTTGGGCAAGTCATTTAACTTTTCCATGCTTTCTTATATATATATGACAAAATGATACATATATATATATATATGACAAAAATCGTGTCACTTTTCTAGGGTTACTGTGAGGTTAATAGTGCATTTAAAGTGCTTAGCAAAAATGAGATGTTCAGTGTTGAGCTTTTCTTTATTACACTGATAATAGGTGGAATTTCAGCCTATCATTTCCTATACACACACACCCCATTATTTTTTTAAAAGGTTTAACTTGGTTTCAATCACTAAAATCTGAGATGATTTGAATTTATTTGACTTAATTAAAGGAAACTTTAAGGACAACTGACCAAGTTTCTGCAACAAAAAATCTCAGGGAAAAAAATAAGCAAACAGTCAACATAGTAACCAATGGCAGTGTATGGACTTTACTTGGACCTCCAATTCGAATAAACAACGTTTGAATTGTTTCCCATGATGGGAAAACAATGAATACTGAAAATAATGAAAACTGAAGGTTTGAAAATAGTAAGGAATCATTTTCTTTAGATGTGATAACAGTGTTGTGATTATACTGAATGAAAAGTCATATTTCAGAGATACATACTGAGATATTTACAAATTAAATTATATGATGTTTGAAATTGGCTTCAATAATCTGGTGCAGAAAAAATGAGTAGGAGGTATAAATAAAACACGACTGACCAGAAGCTGGTAATTGTTGAAGGTGGTTGATGGATATAGGGAAGTTCTTTGAATTCTCTACTTTTATCTGTATTTAAATTTTTCTATAAGAAAAAGTTTTTAAAATCAGTTTATTTTTATTACTATTACAGGACTCAATCTGAGAGGCACTCATATGAAGAGTCTGCCATATTCTCTCTGGTAGTTATGAATAAATACAATGCCCCAAATCCAACCGAATGTGGGAAATAATTTGACATTTCTCTTTTAACATTAGTCAGTACAAACAGAAATCTGGTACATTTGCTTCCAAATTATCATTTAAGACTGGCAATTATTAATACTTCAAATCTGTGGGGTAGATTTTAAGCTCTGTTAATGAGCAAATGTTTCATCTTGTTTTTGGCAAGGGTTAACCTCTGCCAGACTTCTCCTTGCTAATGTTTATTTTGTTGACTATTCTGATCATTGACTGGAATTCTAACTTTTGCTATAATGTGTATGCTTTTCCCTTAGTGTCTCCTAAGATCCTAAGAGAAACCAAAATAATATATATTTTTAAACAAGACCTACCTATAACCTGTTTTAAAGTTCGCCTGTAGGCTCGCAGAGGCCAGCGAGACCGTCTCCAGAGTGATTGTCTGCGAGACTGCATTTTGTGGGCTTCCCTTTCTGCTGCTATTCTTCTGAAGACTTGTTTTTAAAACCAAGCTCAACTCCCTTAATTAACTAGTCTTCTTTCTCTAGAGGCCAAAACACTTGGGTTGGGATGGGTGAAGACACAGAAATAAGCTTTAACAAGGTAGAGGTTGATTATGTCTCAAGAAAAAAAAGGATGCCTCATAGTTAAAGAACTGCCTGGGCATGGAACAGGGGAAGGAAGACAGATGCTGCAAACCTTCCCTTGAAAAATCTTCTAAGGAGAGGCAGCGGCTTTCTGATTAGAGGCTTTCAGGAAATCCTGCAAGCAGAGAAAGGGAGTCTTCACCTCTTTTAAAGACCCCTTCCCTTTCCAGATCTGGATTCTCAATACCAAGGTGTCAAATGCACCCCCACCCCACACAACTGGAACTGTGTTCCAGGGTAGATCGTAGGAAATATTTATGTCACTACTGGTGACAGGGCAGAAGACCTCCCTCAAGGGAGCAGGACCCACCCCCAGGATCCCAGATCAACCTCAGCCTGCTTAGGACGGATAGGACACTAGGTCTTCCTCTAGGAAAAAGTCAAAGCCCCTTGACAGGGTACGTACTTACACTCTAGCTTATCCTGAGGTCTCCCCGACTCCAGTAGGGACAGGTAACACACGACATCCTTCAGGTAGACTATGGGGGCTTCTGAGCCTGAAGACTGAGCAACAAGGTTTCCCACAGGGGGCGCAGCTGCTTGGTTGTTAGCAGTGATCTTTGTTTCTGCATCAAGCAAAATGAAAGCATCCAAGGACACAAGGTTTAGTAAATATGAAAACCTTGTTGCCCCATTCTTTTCATGGAAGAGGCAAGAATTTTATATAAATGTCTTCAAAGGTACAGATGATGCTTTTGATCAAATAAAAAAGATATGATTAAATCAGAGGTCCTGGAAATCCAGTTTGTAAGCTTCATACTTTTTGAATGAACTGCATTCTGACCCTTTAAAGAGTCTATAGCTGTATAAGAAAGTCCCTTATGCTATGTGAATTTTTAGAACAGATGACAGTGAATTTTAGTAATATCAATCAGCTAAATGTCATTTAGCTTAATTTGGGGGGAATACATCAAAGAGGTAATTTTAGCTGGGACTCTAAAAATCCAGACTATTGGTTATACACCAACATACCCCTTCACAATTTTCTTCTCAAGTGCATTTAAAGACAAATAAAAAAGATGAAAGTTCAAAAGAGAAAACTGGGATCAACAATCAGCTAATTTCCAGAAACTAGGAAGAATTTTCACTTACTGAAAGCCTAATCAGTAGCATAAAGAAAGTGCAGAAAGTGACTCAATATACCACAGGAGTAGAGTAAGTTTTCCCTCTGAAATTTTCCTTCTTTTCATTCTTGTAGGTAGGAAAGGGCTTCCCTGGTGGCTCAGATGGTAAGGAATATGCCTGGAATGCAGGAGACCTGGGTTCAATCCCTGGGTTGGGAAGATCCTCTGGAGGCGGAAATGGCAACCCACTCCAATATTCTTGCCTGCAAAATTCCATGGACAGAGGAGCCTGGGGTCTATAGTCCACGGGGTCACAGAGTCAGACACGACCAAGTGACTAGACTAGTACTAATAAATAGGAAAACCATTTCTTTGTCCTCTGGTTAAGAAATATGATGTTATTAACATTAATACTAACCAGAAAACCAGATACCTATATTTTACTGTGTGAATTATACTTTTTTGAGGCACTTTTAGGGCTATCTCTCTTTCCCCACCCTCTTCACATCCATGATCTTAATACTGAATAAAGGGGTACAACTCACAAAAACCACAGGAAATAGTAAAAGGAAGACTGGTACTGGAAAATGCAACCTAAGTGTTGTACTACCACCTAACAGGGTTTTGAAGGCATAAGCAGAGGGAGTGACAACCTCGATAGTAATACCTGCTGGGGAAAGCAATGCCGCCAGTACACTATTTAGAGAAGTAAAATGCCAAGCAATGGCAAACAGTTCATCTCAGGCCAACAGGGCTGTGCTAGATGAAAACCTTCCAGGTCCTAGAGGTTAGCTGTGGCTTGAGAAGGGAATTACCCATCACCCAGATGGACAGTGGATGAGACCAAAAGACATACTCTGACATACTCAGAGTATGGCACAAAGGGTCCTATGAAGACACCATGATGGAATCCATGAAACACAGCTGCAAAACAAGGAAAGGAAGTTTTATCCTGAAATCTCAGGGGACCATATCTCTGGAAATGATTTCTTACTGGGCAGGACACTCAGTAGATTACAAGAAGGTGCAACCTCTATTAAACAGGAGTAGAAAGCCTCAGGAGTGAGCAAATTGAGATGAAAATACAATAGGATGAAATAAAAACAAGGATAGTGAGATGGAGGAAATTGCTATGAAATTACATATGCAACAGAAGTACTAAAATCTCACTGGAGTTAAAGTTATGGAAAAACTTAAATATATAAGACAAATGTGATAAAGTCTTTGTATTAGGTAGCTCAAGTTACTGTTATATCCTCAAATTATTCATTCAATAAAACACTATTATAGTGACTTCCACACCAAATAAATTGGAATAAGAGGGACCAGTTTTACTCTCCTACTGGTGCAACTAAAAAATTGGACAAAAGATACAAAACAATGGTTCATAGGACACTGAATATGGCCAGCACCAAAGAGTGATCCCAAGAGTGGGAAACAATTGAGGTGATGCTTGCAAATGCCACATCTTACTGACTGGAAAGTTTCTAGACTGTGGCACAGAGGGAAACCCAGGGAGGTCCTGGACATCTCTGTGAGTTGCAGAGATGGAGCTGGGAGTCTGGGGAGCTCACAGTGGGTGGAACTCACAGAGCAGCGCCCTGGAGGGGAGGCAGCTGCTCAGAGAGAACTCCAGCTGTCTCTGCAGAAGGTCCTTTTGAGTAACTGGCTGGGAGTTCCCTCAATTACTCATCTGAGTAGTGATCGGCACACGTGTGAAAGGAAACTACCTGCGGCTGGGGAAGGAATCCAGATGAGAGGGAAAAATCCCGGGACTGCACAAAGAACCAGGCATACTGTCTATTTCCAGCAATCAAAGTAGAAACCTCCTATAATTAATGAACCATTAAGTAGAGTACCCAGAAGAGTTTTGCCTTGATAACCGGGCAAAATTAGCCCAAAAAATGCCTCCCTGGTCCTATTCAACAAAGCTTTAAAAGCTTGACCCCTAAAGGTCAAACTATTTCCAAGTAATCCTAAGTGTATCCCAAAACAAAGCTCAAGAATATTTATAGGAGCACAAAAATACCTAGTACCAACACTGTAAAATTTTCAAAGTCTGGCATTCAATAAGATATTGCCATGTATACAAAGCAAGTATGAATAATAATAATGAGAAAAATCTACTGAAATATATCCAGAATGATACAGATGATATAATACAAAAACTTTAAAACAGTTACTATAACTACATTCTATATATCCAAGAAGCTGGAGGAAAGATTGAACATGTTAAGTAGAGATATGAAAGATATTTTATGATGTTCACATCAAGTGTCTAGATATGATGTTAAATGAAAAATACAAATATACTGAGCAGTGTTAACAGCAAATTAGATACTGCAGAAGGAAAGACTAGTGAATTTGAAGCATTGCAACAGAAACTAGCCAAAAAGACTATATTAAAAAAAAAAGTATCATACCAGTGAGCTGTTGGACAACTTCAAGTAGTCAAACAAACATGTAATTGGAATACTTAAAGAAGAGTCAGGAGCAGAAAAATATTAAAGAAATAATGGCTGATATTTTCCCAGATTTGTTACATGATAAAAACTATAGGACCTCAGATACAAGATGCTCAATGAAACCCAAACATAAGAAATATATAAAACTACACCAAGGAACACCAAAATCAAATTGATTAAAATCAGTGATAGAAAATCATAAAAGAAACCAGAGAAAAAACACCTGACATAGAGAAAAACAAAGATAAGAATGACTATAGTTTTCTTACTGGAAACAAAGCAAGCAGGTAGCCAGTGGAACAACATCTTTAAAAAGTATTAAAAGAAAAAAAACTGTCAAATTAGGATTCTTGATTCTGCAAAATATCTTTAGGAAAAAAAGGCTAAATAAAGAACTTTTCAAATGTACAAGTTATATAGAGCTACATTACAAAAAATGGTAAAGGAAATCTTTTTACAAGAATTACAATCTATAGAAACCTGGATTTGCACACAAGAATGATAAGCATTAAAACTAGTAAACCATGTAGATAAATATAAAGAATATTTTTCTTATTAACTAAATCTTTTAAAAAGATAGCTAACTATGAAAATAACATGTTGTATTGTTTACAACATGTAGAAGTAAAAAAGCACAAAGACCTGGAGAAATAGAAGTATGTTGTTGTAAATTTCTTACAGTATATGCAAAATGAAATACTACTACTTGAAGGTACACTGTCATAGTTAAAACAACTAAGATAAAAAAGGAGATAAAGTAAAATCATAAAAAATTCAATTAATTTAAAAGTATTCAGAAAAAAGAGCAAATGGGAATAAAAGAAGAGATTGGAGAAAAAACAGCAATATAGTATTTATAAACCTAATTACATCAATTATCACAGTAAATGTAAATGTTATAAAACTCTAAATGGCAGATATTGTCAGAATGGATTAAAAAATAAGACCCCCAAACATGCTTCCTATAAGAAAGTCAATTTAAATATAAAGACACATTAAAAGAATGAAATAAGATATACTATAGTAACACTAGTTAACTAAGGTGGTTTTATCAGTTATGAGGAGCCTGGTGGGTTCACTGGGTCACAAAGAGTTGGATACGACTGAACGACTCACACTTATCACACAAATTCCAAAACAAAGAATATTACTAGGGATAAAGAGAGTCATTTCATAATGATAAAGAGGTCAAGTCATTAAGACCACATAATACTCCTAAACATTCTACTTCCCTCAAAAGGAATGAAAGCTGTCTGCATAAAGACTTGTATATGAATATTCATTTTAGTTTTAATAGCCCAAATCTGGAAATAACCCAAATGTCCATTGATAAATAAATGAACAAATTGTGGAATATCTACCTGTATACTAAAATACTAGTCAGCAATAAAAATATACTAATTATTGATATACCCAACAACATGGATGAATTTTTAAATTATGCTGAATGAAAGAAGCCAGATGGGAAAAAGTACATACAGTATCAATCTATTCATATAAAATCTAGAAAATGCAATCTAGTCTATAGTGACCACAAGCATAAGGAGGGTGGGAGAAAAGGACTATTAAGGAAATTTTTGAGGTTCATGAATAACTTCATTATATTGGTATGTGCTGATTTTATTGATGAATACAGACATAAACCTTACTAACTATACATTTTAAATGTGTACAATTCATTTTATGCCAATTGTACCTCAACAAAGCTGTTTTAAAACAAAATTATGTGCAGATAATGTAATAGTTTATTACATTGTTGTTGTTGTTTAGTCACTCAGTCATGTCCAACTGTTTTGCAATCCCATGAACTGAAACCTGCCAGGTTCCTCTGTTCATGGGATTTCACAGGCAAAAATACTGGAGTGGGTTGCCATTTCCCTCTCTAGGGGATCCTCCTGACCCAGGGGTCAAACCCATGTCTCCTGAGCCTCATGCATTGGCAGGCAGATTCTTTACCACTGAGCCACCTGGGAAGCCCAGTACTCTACATAGAGCACACTAAAGGCTTCATGCAAAACCTATAAGAACTAATACATG